TTTTTTTTTCTTATATTTATTTTATTTTTTGTGTTTAGTGCATTTGTAAATGAATTTGATTTTCATGATATGCCTATTGATATAGCATTAAGAAAATTTCAATCAACTTTTCGATTACCAGTAAGTACAAAAAAGAAAAAAAGTCAATTGAATTCTTCCACTTCTTCTTTTTTTATTAAAGGGTGAAGCACAAAAAATCGAACAATTGATGAAGGTGAGTCGAACATGAAGTGTACTTATAATAATAAGAAAAAAAAAAGAAATTGTTCATCAAAAGAGATTTGTTTTTATTAAGGTCTTTGGACAACGTTATTCTATAACAAATCCATCATCATCACCATCAAATGTTGATACTATATTTATATTAGCTTTTGCTATTATTATGTTAAATACTGATTTACATAGTCGAAATATAAAATCTGAGAAAAAAATGCGTTTAGAACAATTCATTAAAAATCTTCGAGGTAAGAATACACTCATTTATATGTATATACCAAATTTAATAGAACATTTTTCTTTTTCTATGCGTATGTGATGATTGCTTATGTATATATAGTAAATGTCGATTTTTTTCCCTAATGTAAATATGCACAGTAGGGAACATAATGAATCTTTTACCATTACTGCAGGCTATTAGTTGTCGTAGTAAGGAAAACGAACGACACTGATTGCCAATTTGTCACATTTTTTTTTCTTTTTATTTTTCCTACTTGTGTTTGCCTGCTTACAAACACGCTTATGATGAGAAAAGGATTATACTATATACGAAAGAAGTTTTTTCTTTAACCTCTGTCTCGTTTTTTTTTCTCTCTCTCTCTCTCTTGACGTTTACATTTCCATGATCGCATACAAAAAAAAAATGTATGAGCTATTTTTTTTTTATATGGATGTGTGTGTGCATATTATTCGCGTGTCAGATTAATTTGTCGATGTGGATCGGAGAACAAGTGAATGTAAATCTCAATAAATCTTATGTTGATAGTGTTAGTAAAGATAGTTACAATATAAGTCTTTCCTATTTCTTCTTTAATGAGCCACGCAAATCCAACACATGCATTCTGATCGGATGGAAACTGAAATATGCGCATCGATAGATAATCGAAAGGACAACATATAGAATCGTGCGTAAATATATTCAACAGAGTCTAGCTCATTTTATATCTATCTATCTATCTATATATATATATATATATATATATATATATAGAATACAACTAGACAAGAATCAATTAGGAAACGTTTCTTCAAGTAAACAGCACTACTACCATACAAATTGACCATCTGCAAGCATCAAACAGAAGAAAAGAGAGCGCAAGAAAAAGAAGAAACGATGTTATTGAGGCAATCCAAATGGAGACTCGTCTTCTTCTTTTTTTTTTCTTCTAAGCGACTGACTGATGTCTTTACTATTACTACATTTATATTATTCTTGTTGATAAATAAATCTTCAATGCATCGAACATCACATAAACGTTCGTGTTTTTTTCCACACATGTATAGATATACAAATCCTGACAACCATGTAAGTCATTCAAAAAAATAAAAATAAAAAAGATCTTTTACTCTATTAAGCACCGTTACTCTACGACTAATTATGATAAGAATAGTCATCGTCTTCTTTTTTTTATTATTATATGTCTTTGAATTCAAATGAGATGTGCATGTTGTCATATACACTAGAGTATTATTCTATGTTGTCATTGATTATAATGGACATCGTGTTAACGAAGCGAAGCGAAATAGAGAAAAGAAAGATGAAACAGATTAGGCAACATTGAACTGATGTGAATATAAAACGAAGCCTTTGTCATACAAGTTCATTATTCTGATGCACTATCGTTAAAATGACATGAAGAAAAAAAAAAAACTAGAGTCATGACAGTAAATTATGGAAAACAACAAGAACGAAAAGGCATGGATGAAATGATCTTTTATATGTTGCCGTTTTTTTTTCTTTTATGTTTCCTATAGACACATATAGAGTTTCACTCTATATGCAAACGCATATACTAGTAAAATTGACATGATTAGTGCATTCCAACGGTGACAGTCGAAATTTAATTTTGTCGATTCTTTCTTTCTCTCTTGTCTCTTCAATTAATTCGCCATTATGCATTGAGAACTTGAGCTATTGACATTTCAATATAGATTAATCTAATGATTTTTTTTTTCTTCTTCTTTTTTTTTTTTATAGTATTAGAATAATTTTCTGATAAAGATCTTACTATTGGACTATATAGTTGCATACTAATTTACGTCTTTCTCTTTTTTTTTGCGTTGCTTTTTTTCTCTCTTTCTGACATTAGTATAGACAACATTGTAAAATAGTTAAAAACGTATTTTAATCAAGATCGATGCACACATCATATTTTACAAGTAAATATGATGAATTTTTTGACAGACAATTCTTTTGCCTAGCTAAATCAAAGTGTGCAATCTCGTTTTATTGACCAAAGAAAAACTTTCTTATATGTTTGTGTATGTGTGAAAGCGGAAAAGAAAAAAAGAAAGTAGGAAAAAATCAGATCGTATGGTTTTTCTTTTCAAACAGAGAGAAAGCACCCGTTACTACTGTTGTTTGAAGAATAACTTTTACTTTGTCTTTTTTTTATAGATGTTTCATTCGCTTTACTGCAATAATGAGACAAGGAAAGAGAGGGAGAACCGATTTCCGCTTTCTGCACAATCCGACACTCGTTCGTTATAGACAAGTCGAGGAAAATGCTTTTTATAAGAACGAGCGTTCACTCACTTATTCACTCATTCGTCTACTTCTTTTCATCATCATTCTTATCAAGGTCTTTTTGCTTGTTGACTGCTAGTATATATACTCAGAGTCAAAATCGAATTTTGCTTCGGCTCATACAGACTTGTACGAACGGTCTCACTTCATGTCAATAATACTATTAACATTAAGAAGAGAATAAGAGAGTCCGAAAGAAAATCATTGCGTTCTTCTTTATTTCTTTGTCAATAGAGACAGACGAATATCGACGGAAAAGCTAAAGGGAAAAGCAAAAAAAGAAAAAGAAGACAGAAAAGAAAAAGGAAAAAAAAAGAATCAGAGAATAGAAACAAAATCGATCATTTCAATTTTCACAATACTATATAATAGACTGATTCTTTTCGCAAATCGCACCAACGACGGCGAACGGAAGCAAACTAAAAATGTCTCATTGAACTGAAGAAAAAAAGAGAGAGAGAGAGAGAGAAAGAGAGAACGGCGTTTCCATTGCTTCCTTATAGAATGTATGTAAAAGAGAAAAAAAAAGCGAAGGAAGTTACAAAAAGAAAAAAGAAGAAGAACAAGAAAACCATCATCTATAAATCATCGACCGCTTGCATGCAGCAACGCCACTCATTGCTATCGTTCGGTTGTCGTCATTACGCTAAAGCAAAATGAGAGAAGAAAAAAAAATTTTCTATGTCAACAGACATTCAACATTCTTAAATGATGATTATTAAACAAGTCATATTATTATTATTATTATTATTTTCTAGCAATCGATTATGGTGAAGATCTTGATATTGATTATTTAACTGGTATTTATGAACGCATACGTGCACAAGAATTTCGTCCTGATAGTGATCATGTAACACAAGTAGCTAAATTTGAACAAACACTTATTGGTAAAAAACCAACATTAATTGCACCACACCGTCGACTTGTATGTTATTGTCGTTTATATGAAATATATGATTTATCAAAACGTGAAAGACTTACAGCACATCAACGTGAAGTATTTCTTTTTAATGATTTACTTGTTGTAAGTTGAATATTAATTAAATACGAACAAAAAAAAGTTTTCTATGATTTAGATTACAAAAATTTCCGGTAAAAAACGTCAACAATTACAATATCAATTTCGTCACGCATTTCGTTTATCTGGAATGAATTTATATTTATTTGAAACAACACGTAAGAAAGAAAAAAAAAACTCTAAACTTAGTATTTTATGATTAACACAAAAAAAAAACTCCATTTCTAGATTATCAATATGGTATTCGTCTTGTACGTAAACCAGATATACATCAAACAAATTTAATAACATTTAATGCACGAAATGAACATGATCGAACAAAATTTTGTGAAGATTTAAAAGAAGCTATTATGGAAATGGATGAAATGGAAGGTTTACGTATACAATCTGAACTCGATAAATTACGTGGTTCATGGAGTTCACTTGTAGATACATCAAATAATAATAACAACAATGGAATTATTTCATCATTAATTGATTATCCAACAAATAAACGTGATAGACCATTGTCAAGAACATTATCGAATTCATTACTTGATATGACATTAACAATGCCTGTTTCATCGATATGTAAGGAAATCTAATTAATAAAAATACTTTTTTTTTGTAAAGTGTTTTGTTTATGATTAGTCAATCATCATAAAACAACGAATAATAATAATAATAATAATAATAATGATAATACAACAGAACTTTTACCATGTCGAAATTCTCAATGTTCAGTTGATAGTGGAATGGTAAATAAAATAAAAATATTAATTAATTAACATGTGATCATATCCTTTTCACAACCAAAAAGTGTCCATTCGATATGATTTTATGGTTGCTTTCAGGTTGTGGATAGGACGGATTACACATTCTTTTTCTGTTTCAATTAGTATTACTTATATTATTATAATGATACCTTGTTTTTTTTTTGTTAGGTTTCATTGACAAATGAATTTTCACCAAATAATGGATTTAATATACGTTTAACAACAACTAAATAAACTAAATCTATTCTAATCGTGAATTAATTCTACAGATAAAAATGTTTTTATATACGTATTAAAAGCTAGTCAGTCAAGTGTAAACAGTTGTTGTTGTTGTTGTTTTTTTTTTTATATGTTCGAAATGAAGAACATGTTGTATATGTTTAGACTTCTTTTTTTTTTGTGTGCGTGCACAGTTGTGAAATAATGAAAAAAAAACGAACAATCGGTCATATTTAATGTGACTTTTTCCTTCTTTGTGTTTTATTTAATGATGATTTGATTGTATAATCATAGAAAATTTTTGAAGATTTTCTTTAGCTTTTAATGTTAATAAATAATTTTCATTTTGAAGTTGTTTATATTCATTTGATAAATTTATTAATTCATTTGATTGTTGATTAATTATAAATATATGATTTGTTGGTTTAATTATTTTATCATATTGTATTTGTTTTATTAATTTAATAAGTAATTCATTTTGTTGTTGAAATTTTAATGAATATTCATTTAATCGATATTTCCTATATCGATATTCATTTTTAAGATGATCAATTAAAGTTGTTTTTTGATTCATACTTAATTGTAGTGAAGTTAATAATTCATTATAATTTATAATTAATTTTGATTTGAGAATATATGGTAAAATCTAAATGAAAAAAAAAATAAATTTAACTAAAAAATCAGCTTAAAAAAATTTTTTTTTTGAAAGAACAAACTTTTTCTATAAGATTTTTTATAGAAGATTGATTTAGTAAACGATCAATTTGATTTCGTTTAACATGCATTTGTAAAAGACGTGTTTCAATAAGTTCAATTGTATTAGTAAAATTTTTATTCGTTCGAAGATATTCAATAATATTTGATAATTCTTTAAAATGTTTATCAAATTTATTAAGATAATTTTGAATATTATGAAAATCTTTCATATATTGATGAGATTTTTGTATCAATATATGATTAAGTTCATCGATTGTTAAATTATCATTTTTCAAAATAATATTATTTAATATTTTTTGAGATGTATTTGAACATATTTTATTTATTGAAATAGGTGTTGAATGAATTTCAGTTGAATTCTCTATTATTGGACTTAATAAACGATTAGATAATATTGTATCATTTGAAATAGAATATTCAAGTAAAGATCGATTATGTTTATGAATAGATTTTGATATCAAACGAATTTCTGACGCCATTTAAACGTTATTTTAATGTATGACAAATGAAAAGATAAACAATACAATGGATTTTACATATAAAGATATAGTAGAAAAGTAAAGAATGGATCATGATGGAATGAGATATACATATATGTTTTTAATGCATATAAGAACTAATGCATATATGAAATATATTTTTCTATAATTAATTTTACATTTTTATTGCTAATATGATTAAGAAACTTTGGAGTAATAATTAATTTTAATACAATTATCTAAGATAATATAATTCATATTAATTCTTCTGTTTTTCTCAAAATAAAATATTGATAAACGATTTTTTTCCTCCTTGAAAAAAGAAATTATTTTATTTCGTTGTCATCCAATTGATATATTTCTTTTTTGTCAGCTAAACACGAGTTATTAAACTAAATCAATCAGTGAAAAGATATTTAAAAAAAAGGTCTGCATGACTATTTTTTTGAAAACTTCTGAATTTTTTAATGTTGAATTCTCTATATGAGCAAAATTTCAGATTAAAATTCGAAAATCTGGGCTTCTTTTAGAGTTTTTATTAGAACACTATGTAGAATCTATAGATAAAAAGCTGTTGAAGTTGGAAAAGGACATCTAAAGAGATTTCCTCATCAGACATCAAATCAATGTTGTTAAACAGCTTGGCTAAATTTCTATTACTAGAAGAGACAGATATCTGCTGAACTTCGAGTACTCTATTAAAGTATTGAAGTGTATTTGAGTACTTTTTCATGAACCAACATACCATAACAAGATTATTATACAATGAAATTAGATTGTAACAATTAGCTACGAAGATTATTGTTGACTTTTAAAAGCTTTCAAATGATGTAAAAGGTTCTTTGAATATTTTTCCATAGATTAATATGCATTATCAATATTATTGCCGATAGGAGTTAATGATGTTAACATTTTTGTACTAATAAATATCAGATGTTTGTCATACACGATCAAAGACAAAGATAATTTACATTGAAAAAAAAGAATATTTTTTTTCTAAATCTGAATAATGACTAATGAAGTTTAGTAAATTGATACATCAATTTCTATTTGGAACAAAATTCCTGGCAATATAGAATCATTTCGAACCCTGCTGACAAATGAAAACGAAACGTCTCTGTCGAAACTTACTTTTACAAATTATCGAACGCAAGAAGATTTTTTTTGTAGATTTTGCATTGTTTTTTTTATGTAATATTTCAATAACGTTGTTTTTAATAGTTTATGTTCTCATAATTTTATAAACATTGAATCAATAAATTTTTATTTCAATAAATTAGAAAATGAAGTTTATCATTTTATTAAAAATGAATCTGTTGAACATATTTATCAGAAATATTTTACAGATAGTTTTTCGTTTTCGATAACAATAAGAAAATCTCTATATTCATGAGTATCAGTTAATATTTTAATATCATTAAAAAAATGTTTTAAGTCATCTAAGATAAGTTTCAATATTTGAAAAACCTCTCTCCTATTCTATAGTGTGGTCCAAATAAAGTTGACTGCTTTTGTGTTCTGTCTTTTGAAGTATTTTAAAGTAACGTTAAAACTTGTCTTTGAACTTATTCGATGTAGAATTTAATTCTAAACAAATGGATATGATTTTTAATTTGAGCAGTGAGAACTATTATATGATTCGTATGAAAAGAAATCAGAATGAGAACAATTGGGTAGAAAACAAATTTTTTCGTATTTTCATATTTCTTAATTCAAAAATTTTGCTCACAAATATCGTTTCTAATATTTTGAAATGCACATCAAAAGATGCAGAATTTTACAAAGAATATTGTGGCATAGTTAAAATTTCAGTTGGACTGCTATTAAAACTTGTCACCACTTTTGTCATTTTTTATTCTTCACAGTTGCATAATTGAGTAGCATTTATTTTTTTGAATTTTGTACGAACAAGGTAATTTCATTTGAAAAACAAAGCATCAATTTTGTAGAGAAAAAAATTCTACATCGCATATGCACAATGACACGTATTAACGTTACTTTAAAATGTCTGAGGAGGACCTTCGTCTTTCCGGATATGAACATTCAAATTTTTTCGATTTTTGGTTTTTCATCGCTAATATAGCTCCCATGTATCCTCTGTGAAGTGCCATATAAACGAGGGTACTTCGTTGTTAGTTGGTCGTTTATTAAACTTTTTCACAGGCACTAGCCACTGTTTGACATACCTATTTTTTTTTATTTTCAAAAATATTGCTCTAGTGATTTTTTGGTAGATTTTACAACAAAAGCATGTGTTTGGGGATATGCTCTGTATTTTGATCTTTTTATTCGAATGAAAGTAGATAAAAAGAAACCGAAATAAAAATAGGCATCCCAAACAGTGTCTAGTATATGTAAAGAAAATTTCAACTTTATGGAATGTGTTGCACTTGAGAAAGGGTAAGATTAGAGGAACGATTTTTTCGCCTTTGTGATTCCGATATTTCCTAGAAGAAAGCATTTGGGAATTTTAAGTCTAAGACAAATTTTGCTCTACTCATTGAGATCTATCTATCCGACAAATTTCCAAATTTTCTGATGAGCCGTTGTCCAGAAACTTCGAAAATAGGAGTGCACAACACAAAAGTAGCTAATTTTGTCCGGGCCATCCGTTATATGCAATTCTAGAAATCATTAATGATTAAAATCTATTGCAAGAATATTTTCAACTAGTTGTACCATAATCATAGTTAACCTATGACCTTCACAATATGGTCGTATATGGAATTGTTCTAATAAAGTTCATATTTTCTAGTCGGCAAAGAAAAGATTAGAAATTATCTTTATCATTATCATGACGTTATTTCACTTGAATAACTTCAGTTGTTGACAAGCATTTAATTAGAACGACATAGATGGTTTGCAAAAGACAATATCTTATGACGTCTATTTTTACTTCATCTCTCAATATCCTTGGCAATATCTTTTCCTTTCTACAGAATCTGCATTCTATAGGCGTAATTGTCTTAGGAAAAAAAACAGCTTTTTTTATCCCAGCGGGGGTTTCGTACATTTCCAGAATAAATATAGATTCAGAAATACTCTGATTCATCGCACTAATATATCTTTTTTTTTTGCATGATAAATACTTTTGAAGACAACTGATGCTCTAAGATTATTTACTCTCCATATGTGTGCGCATTTGTCATTGACAAGTTTTATAGTTCTCGAAAAGTCATATAAGTGCTTAATATTGTATAAAGATAGATGCAAACATGTGTGTGTATGTGTGTCACAAAAAAAAAAGAAAAAGAAGAAGAAGAGGTAATGTTCAATTATTAAAAAAAAAGGTATTCAGGTCTTGTCATTTTTCATAATTATTATATCTATCGTGTTGATGAAAGCGATAGAATTTCTATAGGTTGATGCATTTTTTTCGATGAATAATTGTGTGATGAACTATAATTAAAATTTTCATTATCATCATCTTGATCATTATAATTCGTATATTTTTTTGTTGATGAACGTGGTTTTATTGATAAATCATTTGTTGGATCACCAATATTTTGTAAGATTTTCTTACTTGTTTCCGCTGAATAACGTGTTATAGCATTAAGATCATCATTTAAACTTCGTACATGTATACTGTTTGATATTGGTTGACGTGAATGAATAAATGAATGTTCACGTGGAGTATTTGCTACTGTTGTATAATCATATAATGCTGATGCTGTAGGTGATGCTAAACTTGTTGTTCGTCTTGGTGGACTATAATCAAGTCTTGATGATAATGTTGAACGATATTTTGTGTAATAATTATCATCAACAGGATTTGTACGATATTTAAAATCATCATCATCATCATCAATACGATTTGATCGATATTTTGGATAATAATCATCATCAATAGTATTTGCTCGATATTTTGGATAATAATCATCATCAACAGGATTTGCTCGATATTTTGGATTATAATCGTCATCAATAGGATTTAATCGATATTTTGAATAATAATTTTCATCAATAGGATTTGAACGATATTTTAAATGATGACCATCATCAATTGAAGTTGAACGATATTTTGTACGATAATCATTATCAATTGGATTTGTACGATATTTTTTATAATAATCATCATCAAGTGGAGTTGAACGATATTTTGTACGATAATCACTATCAATTAGATTTGAACGATTATAATCATCCGTATTATTATCATCATAAGCATTATAATCATTAGCTTGTTCTTTTAATGGTACACGTACATCACGATTTGAATATGATCGAAGACGTGTTTCATAATCAGGACTTGAAGCACGTTGTGGTTGATGTAAATATGAAGCAGCACCATAATAATGTTGATTATATTTATTTGATGATGGTGATGCATCAGGTACACTAAGTAATGCTGAATATGTTTCACTAAATAATGGTACAACTGTTGATGGTATTGGTGTATAATATGGATTATATGCACGCATTATTTCACGATCTGGTTGTAATTTTTGATTAATTTTATCAACTTTATTATTCATATTTTTTTCAAATTGTCGATAACGTCCAATAGGTGTTTTATATTCTAATGAATTTTCTTCATCTTGTCGAACACGTCGTTTAAGTATTTGTGGTGGTGTTGGTAAATCATAAGCAAGAACATTACTTGGTGATGCTAAATTCATAGCAGTAGCTATTGTTGCATTTGTATTTTCATCATTAATACCTGTTGCTGCACGATCTAATTTAACAGCACTTTCCATTTCACTTTCATGTCTTTGACGCATTAAATGTAAACATAAATCATGATTACGTTGACGATCTTGTATTTGTTCCCATTTTTGTTCACGTAATGATTGTGCTTGAGATGCTTTTAATTCTTCTTCACGATCCCATAAACTTAATTCTTCTAATTTATTCATTAAACGTCTTGTACGATGTTCACGCCAATTAGGATTTAAACGTGAACGGTGTGTTTTTGGTACATATTTCATTTCTTCTCTTGTTGGTGATCTATCATTTTTTGTTTCAAGTTTATAACTTTCAACTAATGTATCAATAAAATCAACTGGTCGACGTGATGATTTTGATGATCGAGTATTAATTAAATATTTTGAACGTGATCTAGATCCATTCTTGTCATCATCGTTTGTTGTTGAATCAAAATTAATGGCACGAGATTTTGATGTTGATTTTTCTTGTTCTTGATATTGTCTATTAATATTTTCTTTTTTAGGATTTTTCGAAGGAATATAAGTTGATTTATCTTCTTGTACATCAGATGTTGTAGATAATGATTTCTTTGATTCTGTTGAAGCCGAAACTGAGGGTTGATTTTCTTTTTCTTCTTTTTCTTCATCAATTTTTGTTGATGGCGTCGTTTTAACTTGATTTGATTCTTCATCTTCTACAGAAACATTATTACCTGACGGCAATGATTCAATTTTATTGTCTTCTGTAGATGGCATTTCGTCGGATACCAATGCCATTGAATATTTGTTTGGAGTTACACAATATTCACTAAACAAAATAAATAGATAAAAAAAACAAAACAATTCTTGATCAAATTAGTCACCGAAGAGTAGAAAAGTTTCTTTTTGGAGAGTTGCGTCTCTACAAATAGAATCGTTTGACGACGCCGATGCCGCTATGCGAGCCTTGCTAAGAAAGATAGTATAAGTTATACATAGAAGAGATGTTTTTTCTCTCTCTCTCTCTCTCTCTCTCTCTCTCTCTCTCTCTCTCTTCCTCTCTATCTCATTTCTTCCTCTACATTCGTCTGTCAGAACAATGATAAAAAAAACTCATCGTGTGCGTAATTGTTTTGAGACATTTGTCTCTGTGCTTCGTCGCCTATGGATATTTTAGTATTTACAGACAAGAAACGAGTGTACCACGCGTAGAGATGAAAAGGAGAATGAAGAAGAGGCGGGAGATTATGGAAAATCAGGGATTCCTGTTCTTACTCTCTTCTCTTTTGTTATTATGTCGATGAAGATAATCATGCCTGGGTGATACACAAAAAAGAAGGATGGTTGTTGTCGTTTTACTATATAGTGCTAAAAGCATAAGATATATAGAAAAGAGAGAAGGTTATCCATTTCTATACATACGTACTTGGTATAAAGCAAAAGACAGAAAGAAAGAAATACTTCTCTTACGTCAACCACAAAATTATGCATATTTGGCTGACGAGTAGATAAAGATCGATGCTAGCAATATAGTTACCATGCTTCATGATACAACCATCGAAGAAAAAGCCTGAAGGATATTTTTCTTCTCTGTGATAAAAAGAAGAAAGGTTGTTGTCTATATTGACGTCAAAACTATATATATATATATATATCAAGGTCTATATTCATTTAAAACGACGTATATACAAAGTCCAAGTATGCCTATAATTTTATGATGATCTTTATAAATAGGTTGGATATACTGAATTAAATAGAAAATGAAAGTAACATGTAATAGATGGCGAACACCAGATCATTTTTTTTTCTTATGTTTATATTATCTGAGTGTTGAAAAAGTTCTAAATATACTTCATCAGTATTGACCATATGTTTTTGATATAATAAAACTATTTCTACTCAATTATATATACTATAGTAATGATGACATAATAATTATTATATCTTCGACTTATACATGTTCTCATATTCTCAATAATAGAAACAATTCACACAATGAATGATAACTGTGATAATCAGCTAAATGATTTATATTGCCCACCATCGATAATATACGTTAATTAACTTGAAAGACGAATTGTTATGATATGAAAAGATATGAGTAAAATAACAAAGCATTCAAAAAAATAAAATTCGATATTAGAATGTTCTGTTTGTTTCTGTTGCTCGATAAAAATTTATTTATATCTATTACTTTCTCCTTGCTGTTATTATCTATTGTAAAACTATTGATAATAACTTAAATGTTCTCATGATGATCTTTATAATGTATTACATACAATAGAAAATTGTCTGATTGGAATAAAAATAGATATTATAGTGTCATGGTATCCTTCAAGTCCTATTGTATTCTTATGCACGCAGCATGTTTATAGTAGACGTCCCCTATTGTGACAATTTATAATATATTACGAAACCAGATGCAATAAGTTACAGAAATGTTCTTAATTGTTGTACAAATTCAAGGATTACAATGTTGTAAACATATCTCCAGACAGTCATATATGTATTTTGGTATTACATTGTAAAATTTCTTTTCACATATTTTCATGTATTTTATATTAATTTGTAAACAAATTCGAACTTACAAAGAAATAAGAAAAAGAACTTAGAATCCGTTTAATGCATCATGAAAATGAAATGATAGATCTTTCGATAATAATAAACTATAGCACATCATTACTATATTGATTGCTTCTTTACGGTCAAATAATAACATTTATATTGTGGTATGCCTTATTGCTTTTAGGACCTTTTATACTTTGTCCTGGAAAATGTTCCGATTGACATGTAATGAAAAATATAGCGAAATTATTTATCTGGATGGACTAGAATGTACTGAATGCTTCTTAAGGGGGCCCTCCCCTCAGAATTGATTTCTCACTTAGAACAGTCCCTTTGGACTAAAATTTGCAGAAGCGATTAGTCCAAGTGAGAAACGCTTGTGGTAAAAATTTCAGCCTGATATACCCTACTAAATCGAACTTCTCGGCTTGTTTTCCTGCCTTCCAAGAGAATCGAAATAACTCCGTCGTTATAAGGGATACAGAACTTGGGCCGGTTTCAAATAAAAGCTAGCCTCTATGCGCAACTTTTTTTCAGACGGAATTTTGAAATACCCTTCCATTCATTTTTTATAAGCATTTTAATGGGCATGGTGTTTAAAATAAGCACAAAAAAATGTCACTACACAACAGTTAATCTCACTTTTCTCAGCCCAGGAATCAAGTATCAAAAGTCCATCCGATAAAAAATTAGCTCTGATTAGGACCTTTAAAACAAAAAAAAAGCATCGGCGATACCCCGAGCCGAGAGGAAGTTATTTCAATTTTCCTGCATATAAATCGTGTTTTGAGAAAAACGCTAAAGAAGTTTTAGAAAGAGATTTTTTCATTCAAATTCAGAACAAATCATATTGCAATGGTATATTTTTAATATATTTCAGTAAACCGTTTTAAAGTACGTAATAGATGAAGGTAGCTAACGCCATCTGACATGCTAGTTAATATAAAAACGTTCTATTCAATGATAATGCAAATGGCAACGCAATTTTTCCAAAACTGAAAAACTTTAAAAAGCACAAAAATGTCTCCGAAAATATGGTAGTAGACTCAAAGTTTCATGCGATAAATCTTTGAAAACCTGATCATTTTCCAAAAAGCGATATATATTCTAAAAGAGGAAGTTTCGCTGCATCTTTCTGTGATAAAAATTCAACTTCGATATTTTTTTGAAAAATTCAATTTTCCAAGGGAGGGAGTCTCCTTAAGATCATATGAAATAACATTTTATCTTTGTTTATTGATTTGATTTGTAATGATATTTCCAAATATTTGAAAGTATTACAGTACAGAACTAACTGTGTATTGAATGGAAAGTAATTCTAGAAATTAACATTTTGGAAAAGGAAAACGAAACATCAGAAATTAATCTGAATTATTCATGTGATCATTAAATTGTTTATTTCGATATTAATTTGGATGTTTCTACTAAGTCTTTAAAATCATCTCTACAATAGTTTATCGTAAATGAAATTCATATTGTTATATTTCGATTTGAATAGACTTTGATACAGAATAATACTCTTTGAATTTAAGGAATTTAATAGTTTGGATTTTAAACTAGAAGAGAGTATATCTTTGCAAAGACTTTTGTTTAATAATTGATCTGTCTCATCATTAACATTTTACATCAAACTAAGAATACATATCTTTAATTTTATATGTACATAGATGTTTGACTTGCATTATTTGGAAAAGGAAATGAAATGAGATTTTCAAGTGTGTTACAAATAACATGCTGTTAAAAGGTTTTAGGTTTTGCTCTAAATGGCTTTCTTTCCTTTGTTGGTATATTTTTAAAATGATAGATCGACGTGGTCAATTGTTACTGGATTTCATTTTTTTTTTACATTGTCACATCTATTTTGTGTCCATGGCAGAAGCAGATTCTTTAAAGCTTTGATGATAAAATAGAGACCCTTTAGATCTACTATCAACAAAAATTTCCTTGATTTTTCTTTAGTGCGAGCTGAGCTATTCAGAAAATATCGACCGTTACAGAATGTCAAAAACGTAATTTTTTTGTTGCCGAAGCTGAGAGTTTCGCATTTTACTAAAAAAACAAAACGACATACACATAAATTTTCTATATATATAACTTGTTTAGTTTTCAACAAGCTTTCAGAATACCTGATCATTTTGTAACAAGCATAACTGTATCGAATAATAAACTAAAAAAATAGTGTTCATTACAAAATTTCATCCTATTTTATGAAAATTACAGTTTGTTTCAGGATGAAAGTAAAAAATGTCACAAGTAACCAGATATTCGCCGCCAACATTGGATTCTGCATTAAAAATAGTATATTTTTCACTAATATCCAACGAAAAAACATTTTTAACTTTTTCGACCCGAGAAATTTTCAAGAAAAGTAAATATTGAAGTTTCGATTACCAAATACTCCATTTTGTTCCGAATGCGATGTTAATTATAAATATATTCCAATATGTGCATATACTTATGAACGAAAACCGTGCAAAACGTTTCATAGTCTACAAACACCGCAAAATTCGGATACTAATGAAATTCTGTAATACACCATTTTTAGAAAACGGATGCAAATATTAAACCAAACTGCACTTAAAATGGAGATGTGTTGGGTGCAGATTATTGACTTCTAATTGGAGATGTCGTTTTTCTTACAAAAATCAGCAATACAAGCAAGTTTCATTATGGAATTTCATCAAAAAATGAAGATGGTTGTTGAACGCATTATGTGGGTTTGTAGACACCTAACTTTTGTATGAAGGTTATATATTAACAGGGCACACTCAATGCTACATAGGAATAGAAATGTTTCCATTGCAAATACTATCAATCATTCTCTTTTGAATGACAGACTCAATTTTCTTCCCTGTTAAGTTCGAATTCTTCCCATGTGTGAATGATCGATGACTGACTATGTTGAGATTGATAGACTTTTTTTAAAATAAGCTTATGTTTTCTTTTTAAAAATTGAAATGCAATTATATTTTGAAAACAATAGACATGAGCAGAATAGTGATAAAAACTTTCAAGCAAACAAAATTGATTTCTCATTAAAAACAAACAAATCTCTCAGTCATTTTGTGTGCACAAAGAAACAGAAGTCAAAAAAAAACCAATCAATTTAAAAAGGTTCTTCAAATCCTAAGGTGAACTTCTTAAGAAGTTATTTACATAGTGATTTTTCTGAATCATCATATATGAATTTATTCGAAACTTTAAACTCAATTTTTTTTTCAATTAAATAATTACTCATAGGATTTTGCTTTTTATTTCAAATTTTATTTTATTTTTATGTTTATTTTTGAAATTTACAGAATGGTTTTTTTCGATATGATTTCAATTACATACAAAAAATGACTCGTGTTTTTTTGCTATGAATTTTTATCTAAAAAGAAAAAAAGTAAAAGAAGGAAGAAACATATATTTCAATGATTCAGCTTTTTCATAAATACAAAGAAAAATATAAAAACAACATCAATATATGTTGCCATGTGCTTTTTTTTCCGCGTTCTTTTCTTTTTCTTCTCAGTTGCATTTGTCATACTTTTGTTGTAGTTTCTCTTGGAAAAAAAACCCAGTGTGTGTTTTGTTCCTTTTATATAAGAGTGTCAAGCATCAATTTGATATTTTCACATAGTATAAACAGGATTTTTTTTAAATACGAGTGAAATAATATTTTAGTTATGTCCAATACTCGAAGTGGTCGTGGTTTTTCATCAAATGATCGTAATAGTAAAATTCGATTTCATCTTTCTGAAGGATCTTCTACTGCGTCACCATTAATGCAAGATATAAATGATTCAACTTCCCCATCAGTTAATCATAACATTAGTCGAACTCAACGAAATCCTCTTATTCAATCGAATACTGGTGTTGTTAGGTTTGTATTTATTATAGAAATTTGATAAAAATGAAAAAATTATTATTTCAGACATCATGGAAATAGAACTCGCGGTTCAAATACGAGAGAGGGAGGAAGACAAACAAATTCAAACGAACATTATCGACCTTCTAGTGTAAATGATAATAATAATAATAATAATAATAATAGACGTTCATCTATAAGACCTGATTATGCTGCTTCTAATTCAACAACTGGGAATCCGTATGTAATGTTTTTAATCTTTAATAAAAATGAATTTGATATTTGTCTTTTTTTCTAGAACAAATAAAATATCGTCTCAACCACCAATTAGATATGATACACTTACAAAATTACTTAATAAACAACCAGATGAAATTCTTGCTGAAATGCTTCGTCCGAATTTTCAATTAAAAAAATTTCTCAATGATAATCGTATGCGAAATCAATATGATTGGATATTATCAATGACAACATTACTTGAACAAGTAATAAAATGTGTAGGATCACGTGAACGTGTAGTTATGATTCTAGAACAATTACCTAAAACATTATATATCGATGGTGTTTATGTTGAAGTTCGTAAAACAGATATAATTACTGATCAATTACGTTTTAATTTTATTAAATCATTTCTTAATATATCAAATGCATTTCTTTCTATGATACCAAATTCAGCAGATGATTTAACAAAAATATTTGAACGTATTGAATTATTATTTACTAAAATTCAAATGAAAACATCTGTAACATAAATAGATTTGATTATTTATTTTGTTAATGATAATTTTTATCTTTTAGGAATATGAAGAAACAAAAGTAATACTTGATGAAGTACTTGAACGAGTTAATGAAATAGATCATCGAAAACAACAATATCAACAATCAAAAATAAAAAATACTACTACCACTACTACCAATCATATCGAATATGAAGATAATCCACCTCCACCAGATGATTATCGTCAATTACAAATAGTACCTGATGTAAGAGAAATTTTATCTGAAAAACGAACATATCTTCGAGAAAATATTGTTGATGGTGTTTATAAAGATCCACAACATTATCTTGATGTAAGTATTGACTTATAAATTAATTTTTTGTTTTTACTTTTTATTTAAAAATTCGATTTTTATTTTTTCTTAAGATTCATTTTCGTCTTTTACGTGCAGATTTTGTTGGTCCATTACGTGATGGTATTGAACAATATTTATCCAAAGCTGGTGGTAAAAATTTTAATGTACGAATTTATGAAAATGTTCGTTCACTTGGTCCACGATTGAGTCCACGAAATGGTATTGTTTATGATTTATATTTGGATCCTAAAATGGCATCAAAAATTTCTTGGGCTAATAGTCGACGATTAATATATGGCAATTTACTTGTTCTTACTCATGATCAATTTAAATCATGTGCATTTGTTACTATTGAAGATCGATCAAATATTGAAAAAGATTTTATTTTATCGGTAAAGGACGAGAGTGAATACGGCCATTTTTCATCTCCTCTTCCCATGAGTTGGAGATTTTTGTATTTGAATCAAGTCAATGAGGATCCTTGATCATATTCCAGTAGTTACAATGAGATGATAGGTAACATTACGGTTTTTAGAATCTAGAGTATTTCCAGGGATTCCAGAAGAATTTCTTCCTGCATTTCGATCGTAACTTATCTAGATATATTAATTCGAGTTCGCTGATCATGAATATGAAATTTAGGGTGAATAGAATCGTATGTCCTACGGACTACAGTATAGTCACCTATACAACTCCCTGACTGAGCTGCCCCAGTTTTGCTCTTAAATTATAAGTGAGTCGTGTTCAAAAAATAGCTGTTTTTTTTTTACTCAAAATTATGAACTCTATCCAAAGCAGAGCAACGAAAGACTAGCTGAAGTCAAGTTAAACGAGAAACTGACGATTCTCGGCTAAAATGCGTGTTTTAGGGTCCATGCTTGATTATATTCATCCTGATTACTTGTGCAGCCGATGTTACTTCGACGTGAAAATTTTCGACATAACATATCTTTTTGAGTTTTATCTAATGGCAAGGTGTCATCACGATTTTCTAGAGGACCTCTGTAGATTCTGAGGAAAATCATATAGGCTTCTGGAAAATCGATAGTGCTACCATATTTCGCATGGCCAAAAACCTATATATCCAAGTTTTGAGAATTTTTAGTTGACCTCATCAATCAGAAGAACAAGGGCTTCTATGTATTGTATCGCATATTTCTTACTATAAAGCTAGTTTTGTGATTTTTCACAGCAACCATATTTTGCTCCTGGAAGCTTTGATAAATAGGTTTTTGACCATGTGAAATACAATGGCTTTATCGGTTTTCTAGAGACCTGTGTGATTCTCCAGAAGTGTTCTGGGAAACTTTGATGCATAATTTTTCCGATATCCTTCAACATGCCATTATATAGAACTCCAAAGTTTACCAATTATCTCAAACCTTCACGTTGAAATAGAGTCGTTTTCACGAGTAAACAGAATGAGCACTATCAAATGTAGACAGTAATGCTCGAAATCATCGGTTTGTTGTTTCATTTGACTTCAACTAACTTTTTTCCTGCTCGAATTCGGTTAGAGCTCATAATTTTGAGTAAGAAAAAGCTGTTGTTTTGGATAGAATTCACTTACCAAAGCTAGGGTAATCCAGCCAGGAACCTTATGAGTGGCCACAATGAGCTCGCTGTAGCCCATAGAGAATATAATGCTTTTCATTCTAAATACCATATTTGTGACCAACATACTATGTATGTTACCATCAAAATGTGTGAAACAAGTGGTTTTCTGGGAACTCCGAGGATCTCCAAAAAATTATGATGTCACTTATCGCCATGATGACCAGTAGAATATGCCTAGGGACTCTTCTTGACTTGCTCCAAATACAACAACCTCAAATCTATCAGGAAAGCTGGAAAATGGTCTTATTCGTTCTCGTTCTTTCATTTTCATTTTATTTCTTTTCTGCTTTTTTTTTAAATCAGGTAAAAACATTAGAAAATGTAAATATGACTGAACAAATACAAATTGATCTTGATGATATTGATTTTTCATATACATTAACAATGATTGAAACAATGACATATTTTGAAGCTTATCGTCCAGTTCTTAGTGCATTGCAATCAATTAATATTGATGAATCATCATTTCCTCTTGCACCATTTCTTCTTAAATTAACTAATGAAAAAATTCCACCAGATTATGTAACACCAACAACAACATATGATTTTACTCCTCTTCTTGTTGATCCTAATTCAGATGTAAAAACAAATATTGTTAATCCTGATGCGTTATCAACACGTCGTACTGTACATCGAGTTCCTCTTACTCAACAACTTACTACTAAAGAATTTCGAATTACTTATAAACAATCTAATCAAGTAGAAAGAAAATTTAAATCCGTTTCATTACTTGATACAAATCAATGGCCGACAAGTGATGAATTACATCTTAATCCAAAACAACGAGAAGCTTTAATTTTAGCCTTAACACATAAAGTAGCACTTATTCAAGGACGTAAGTAAAATTAATATATTTAAAAAAAAATGATTTTTTTCTGTTAATAAAATTTTATTTATATTAGCACCGGGTACTGGAAAAACATTTCTTGGTGTGCGAATAACTGAAATGCTTTTATATAATCGATCAGTATGGTGTCCACCAGGTGAACAATCAACACCAATTCTAATGATATGTCATACAAATCATGCACTCGATCAATTTTTAGAATTAATTATAAAACGTCTCAAAATAAATGAAGGTTAGAATAGCTTAATTTCTATTTGATTAAATCTAATTACCCAGACAGACAAAAAATGGTTTTAAGGACGTTAAAACGCGTTGTTCATAATTTGTTTTTAGTATATTTGATTATAAACTGTTAAAACAGTCTCATTTTGTTGCTTCGAAATGAATCAAGTTTAGACAAGGAATTTCCGTTTTTGTTTAGATCATATGAAATTAATCAAACACTATTCATTACAGTCTGGCACATACTATTTAAATGTTTTCTTACACCATAATTGCTAAAACACATTTGTCTAACTAAAACTGAAGTGAATAAATCATTGAATAATGAAAACATGCTTTCCCAGAACGAATAAACCAGGAGTGGAATTCGGCAACATTCGATAGTCCCTAGATGGGTTAAAACGGAGACCGTAACGGCGCCGTTTACAGCAGTAAACGACAGGGATACGGTGTAATTACGGTCGTTTACGATGAAAATACGGCCCGCTACAGCACCGTATTACCACGGGCAGTAATACGGCCGTATTTGCCCATACCATATATGGCGAGGTAAACGATCGTTAACGATGTATTAAAGTAGCCGTATACGGATAGTATTTTTTATTTTTAACTGCCGTAAAGACACCGTTATTCTACGGTTTACTCTTGCATTCAGCCCACTTTTTTCCCTTAATCTAAATAAAAAAACTTTTTTGTAAAATAAATTTTATATTTACTTGTGGACGACGTTGTTCATATTAATCTATGTGCAGTAGATGCTTTCATACCACCAATTTTCGTCGAATCCGACAAGTTCCCATTGCCGGATATCATCGGATCCTATTGTCGAAATCTGACAGAATTCGACGTCGGAAATTAATGGATAATGATGGTTTTCGACAGTCGGATAGTTTCGGATCCAACACAGGTGTGAGTTTGACTTGAGTTTGTAATCGAATAGGCAGAAGTTTGAATTGAATTTTCTTCGCTGAATATTTTTGCCTAGAGAATGACATATATATGAAAATGTATATTTATATCTTTAGTCTGAATATTTTGTAAGAAAAAGTATGTTAAGTATATCTCATGTACTTTCTAAAAAATTTACAAATCTATGAGCATGAAAATCGTAGTGAGTTGTTGAGGATACAATACAAGCTTTGCCACAACTTTCTGAGATAAATAATGATAAAATGGTGTGACGTACTCACACTGCCACGCAGCACATTGTTACAGTCGTATGTTGAAGACTATGGAAGGTTAAAATATCAGCAGTTGATGATATCTTTAATTGTCCTATTTTTGTATAGCATGCATCACTAAGCGCTTACATCGTCCTTCTCTCTTCTGAGCCCTCTGATGTTCACGCTACTTTATTTTCTCTTAGAATTCATATTTCGTCGCATATAATGTCACTACGAAGTGTGAATCTAGGGTAGGCTTTGGCCTACCGAAGCCTTGTAGCTCTACTACCTATGCTTATTGGACATGAATCATCAGTAGGTAAAACTTGCACTGATCTTGTAACAACGCATCATCTGTCAGAAAAAAATAAAAATTAAATAGTAATAGAACATTTTTATATTAAGTAGAGTCCGTCGGATTGAAAATTTTCGGATCCAGACTTAGTCGAACTGCATTTTGATACTCTCTATAAAGTTTTCTAATCCGAATTTCCAAAAAACTAGAGTCCATCGAGATCTGAACTCGATCAGGAACCAACCCGACAGACTTGAGTCGATCCTACCTAGGCCTTATAGTTTCGAACTAATTGAAATTAATTTTAGGTATTATTCGTGTTGGTAATCGATGTCAAAATACAACTATTCAACCATTTTCATTACTTAATGCTCGTCGACATGTTCGTGAAAACCGTGCTATACCTAGTAGTATTTATCATCAAAAACATGCTATCTTAGATAAAAAAACTGAAGCTGAAGAAGAATTAAAAGTACATGAACATAAAATGGAACAATCACGAACAAATATTATACCACTTTCATCATTTATGCAATGGAATCTTATTGATGATGAACATATTTCATCATTATTAGCTCCATATAATGATATACCTGTTGATACAGCATTATCAGATTGGCTTGGTCTTAATTATGAATATGAACAAATACCTGATGATTTTCTTAATTTAGGCGAACTTGAAACATCAATGTTGAATATGAATATGAATGATCAAGAAGTAGGACAACAACAACAACAACAACAACAACAACAAGAAGAAGAAAAAGTTGATGATAATGAAGAAGAAATTAATGAAGAAGAAGAAGAAGAACAACGTCGACGAGATGAACTTGAAATCGATGATAATGAAAATATGTTTGCAGCTACTATTAAAAAATCACAAACAACAGAATCTAAATCAACAAAAAAACAAATATTATCAACAAATGATGATGATGATGGCGAAGAAGGAAAATGGACAGTTGTAAAAAAGAAACCTTATGATCGCCGTCGATTAATAAAATATATTATTCAAAATCCAACAACATTCAATGATCAAACAGTTCAACAAATAAATATTGATCTTTGGTTACTTCCAATGACTCAACGTTATGATTTATATCGTTATTGGCTTTTAAAATATCAACAATATTTACAATATTCTGTTCGTGAAGCAAGACGTGCATATAATCAAGCAGCATCGGCTCTTGCTGAATATCATCAAGAAGAAGATTATTATATTTTAAAAGATAGTGTTATTGTTGCTATGACAACAACATGTGCTGCTAAATATCATAATGTATTAGAAAAACTTCGTAAGAGAAAAAAAATATTTTTTTTTGAATTAGAAAAAAAAACCAATTTGATTATTCTTGTAGAAAGTAAAATTGTTATTGTTGAAGAAGCAGCTGCAATTTTTGAAGCACATATTATTACTGCATTAAGTACAAAATGTGAACATTTAATATTAATTGGTGATCATGTACAATTAAGACCTAATCCAAGTGTATATCGTCTTGTAACGAAATATCATATGGATGTATCATTATTTGAACGTTTTATTAAAAATAATTTCCCAAATGTTCGATTGAATATTCAGGTATTTTTATAATTAACTATAGAACTTGCACATTATTTTTTTATTTACAACTAATATCTATGTGATGGAATTCGAGAGTTGTTTTATTGTCCGATAAGTAAATGTACATGTAAGATTTTGTGAAGAAGAAGGATACATTCGAATATAGTCTGAAAAGTTTCACTGAGATTTGGTTGACACACGCTATTTAGAAACTAGAACTGTCAGATTAACATTAGTATTAAAATTAACCTTAAGGCCACCACCCTCAAAAATCGATCTCAGGCCAAGTACGTCTGAATACCATGAAATTTTCAGGATATGTTGAGATTGTAGTAAAGGGGCTATAGTAAAATTTTCAGTCCTGTACCATGATGTTTGAAGGAGATATTGGCCAAGGAAGGGTCAACAATAGATCTTTGCGTCTCCAAAAATTCTGTGTGATCTTCAGTCTATATATTTAATATGTTTTTTTTTGTTTGAACGACTATGTCAGAATGCAGTGCCTATGAGACCCATTATTTTTAAACTCTTAATTTTTAAGGGAAAAAAAGGGATCGAAAGTTCTGTAAAAACGGCGCTCTAATTGTATAAATGTTTGTATATATAATAAAAGCAAAGCTTTAATCAAAAAACAGGCTCTCATAGGCACTGCAGTTTTACACACTCTTACAAACCAAACAACCTATTGGGTACAATGAAGCTTCTTCGACATGTAATCGAAAATCTATAAAACGAAAAATATTTTCGGTTTTTTTCGAATAGGGGATGACAGAAATCTTCACAAATTTTTGGAAAAAAACGAGATGCTGAGTAAAAATTTTCGTCATTTATGAGAGATCACACCACGAACTATCTTCCTTCTGTATTTGTCTTAATTTCGGTCATTCTGACAAAAAGTGACTTTTTTGACGGAGGAGCCTTAATGCTTTGGTATTATTAGCATTATTTTTAATTCGAATACACCTGCAACCTGTGACTATATCTCTGAAAATCCATGTCTGAAAGCTGACGATAACAAAACAATGGTTTTCTATACCCGAATGTACCATTCCTAAAACAGAAGAAAATTGTTCGATTTTGAAAATTTCTGAGCTTAGAGTGTCTGAGAGCTAGTCGTTTTTAATCTATATATTAGAATTAAAAATAATGCTAGTTTAATGCTAACAGCTTAGTATTAATTAATGTTAATTTGCAATACTACACTCCTAACATAGACCATCACAGATCGTGACAGACGTTGATATGTCCTGTGTCCAGCTCTAGTTTGTTCGAATACTGAAAGAAAAGAAAAAATCCGATAGTGATCTAAAGTATTTATTTTCAATAAGAAAAATCTTTTTCTCTCTCTCTCTTCTTTTTTAATAAATAAAGCATCGTATGCGTCCAGAAATTGCTCGTCTTATGAAACATTTTTATGATGATTTGGAAGATCATACAAGTGTTAAAACCGATCGACCATCAATACGTAGTATTGATAGTAGTGTCTATTTTATTAATCATTCAAATATTGAAACAACTGTTGCTGATGGAAGTTCAAAACGAAATGAATTTGAAGCAAATTATGTTATTGCATTAGCACAATATTTAAGAAAACAAGATTATCCAGCTGAAAAAATAACTATACTTGTTATGTATCTTGGTCAACGACAATTTATTGCTAAACAAACAAAAAATATTAAATTATTACATGGTGTTCGTGTTATGGTATTATCAATTTAAGGTGTAAATATATTAGTCTTTCTTTTGTTTATTTTTCTTTTCTAGGTAACAGATAATTATCAAGGTGAAGAAAATGATATAATTATATTATCATTAGTACGTAGTAATCACGATAAAAAGATAGGTTTTCTTAAAACAAATAATCGAATATGTGTTGCTTTATCACGTGCACGTTGTGGTCTATTTGTTATTGGTAATATGAATTTATTAGCAGAAGTTGAAGATATGTGGAAGAAAATTGTTAAATCATTAATTGCTACTAATGAAATTGGAACAGGTAAATGAATAAATTTCATTAAGATATAAAAGAACAAAAAAAAAAAAACTTTTGTTTTATTTTTAGGTTTATGTCTTTCTTGTCGTCAACATTCAAAAGAGAAATTTCTAGCTGATAAACCCGAATCATTTATGAAACGTCCTGAAGGTGGTTGTAGTAAACCTTGTGATGCTCGACTTAAATGTGGACATCGATGTGAATTAATGTGTCACAATTATGATTACGAGTAAAACAAGACAAAATCTTTTATCGAAAATTTTTTGTTGTTGTATTTTTTTTTAGACATAAAGAAATTGTTTGTCGTAAAAAATGTAATGAAATTTTATCATGTGGTCATCCATGTACAAAACGATGTCATGTTTCTACATCAAATCAACATGATCCATGTCGAATTCCTGTAGAGAAAAAAATATCAACATGTAGTCATACGATACGTTTTCAATGTGCACGAACACCAACGAGTGATGATTGTACACATCCAATTATGAAAAATCTTTCTTGTGGTCATTGTGTTCATGTACCTTGCCGTATTAGTTCATCACCATCGGAATTACAACGATTTTCTTGTCCAAACCCATGTAATACAATGCTTGCATGTAAACATAAATGTACAGGAACATGTGGAAGTTGTCATACTGGTCGATTACATATTCCATGTCAACAAAAATGTGAACGTTCATTGATTTGTTCACATGTAAGTCGAAGAATTTAATAGGAAAAAAATTTTAAGAGTAATATTTTCTGCTTTTGTGTCTAGGTTTGTAAAGCACCTTGTGCTGCTAATTGTCCACCTTGTTTACGTAATTGTGAAACACGTTGTGTTCATTCACAATGTAAAAAGAAATGTGGTGAATTATGTATACCATGCAAAGAGGTTTGTGTTTAGAATAGAAATTTTGTTTTATTATTATAAAGAAGAAAATAAATTCGAAAGAATCACTCTGATGTCTATCAAAATAGAAGATTTCACTCAAAATTTTTATCCATAAGCTAGAAACTATGATTTTCGAACAGTTATGGTAGATTGTCTTATAGAATTTGTAATTATCTTCATGGCTGTCATGAGAGAACGTTCTCAATTGTCCAATCGCTTTGGACTTGAAACTATTGTCATTCGATTAGGAAGCTGCGGGCCCACATTTTTGTGAACCTGGACCCAGCCGAATCCGAACGTGAGGTTTTTTCTATCAATATCTGACACTCTTCGTGTATATGAACAAGTGAAGGATCAAGATTTCAGCTATTTATTCGCTATTCTCAGAAAGAAACTCAACGTACAATTATATCTAGTTACTGCATTTCTCATCTGGAGAGCAGCAGGTCCATAAAAACGTGTAACAGAGTCCAACAAAATATAAAAGGTAGGATCCAAACCCAAAAAAAAATAAAACTTTGGACCCGGACCCGTTCGGGTCTGGAAGGATCCGCAACTCCCTACATTCTATCGGTCATGGTTAGTAATAAAAAATTTGTTCATAGATAGGTAATATCGTCACTTGGAACTTTCTAAAGTTTCATTCAGAACAAACACATCTTTGCTAAATTTTATCATTCAAATCCTCAACAATTCTATGCTCCTAGAGCAAAAAATCGTGTGAAATGCTCATAATTCGGCAAGCAAAGACCGAAAAATCAGATCAAAACAGACTTTTTCAATATTCACAATGACCAATCGAGTGACAGGAGCCTTAAATAAAAACCTATTGGACAATTCGTAATGTTTCTTTGATAGTTAAATTTTAAAAAAAATTCCATCAAGATATGATTTTTTAACTGTTTGCTGTAGACCAAAACTTTAATAAAACTTTCATCAGGTTTGAAGAACAATCCTTGTGTAAATGAAATAGTTGAAGTAGAAAACTTTACTATTCATCTTTATATTTAGCCATGTGCTTATAAATGTAAACATCTTCAATGTACTCGTTTATGTTCTGAACCATGTAATCGTGGTCCATGTAATGAACCTTGTGATAAAAAATTGAAATGTGGTCATGACTGTAAATATTTTTTTTTTCAAAAAGTATTATCTTGTTCAATTAATTTTGTTTTGTTTTAATATAGGTATTGGTATTTGTGGTGAACCATGTCCTCAACAATGTCGTATTTGTAATAAACTTGTTGTACAAGAAATATTATTTGGTACAGAAGAGGAACCTAATGCACGTTTTGTTTTCTTACCTGATTGTAGACATATAAGTATGTTTCTTTTTGTTTTTTTTTTTAAATATATATTCTAATCTATTATAATTTATTTAGTTGAAGTAACTGCACTCGATAAATTCATTGAAAATTCATTTAATAATCCACATGAAAATACAGCAATACGTTTTCCTGAATGTCCACGTTGTAAACAAAATATTCGTCGTTGTACAAGATATATGCCAATTATAAATCAAGTACATAATTTAATTGCACAAGTTAAAAAGAAAATTTTAGGTAATCAATCAGAAAAAGATTTAAATGAACGACGAATACGTTTAATAAAAGATTTTGAACAAACAGAATATAATTTAAAAGAAATAAATCTTCAACAAAAGAAAAATTTCTTTGATATATTATATGATCAAGATAACCTTTTAAGTGATGATATATTAATCCTTATGAAAAATATTCTTGTATTTCTTAATGAAATTGATAAACTTTTAATTGATGGACGAAAAAAATTACCAATAAATACGTTTGAAAGTTTAGTAAGTAGTTGTTTGGTTTTTTTTCTGACATATAATTGATTTATATTTTTTTTCTAGATTAGTTTACCTCTTAATCATATTATTAAATATTTGTTTGCACATCCACAATATCGAAATTTTGCTGAACAACAAATAAATGATATTGAAGCTGAATTAATACGTATTCATCGATTAATATTTATTGAAACTCTTGTATTATCAATAAAACAACAAACTTCAACACGTAATCTAAAACCAGATGAACAAGAAGGCATTGATTCAATGTTATATCTTACAACGAAAACAGGTCGATTTACTGGATTCGATCAACAAAAATTTGATAGTCTAGTTAAAAAATTAGAACATTTAAATAATTTACCTGGCTTAGGTATAACTGAGCGTGAACGAGTAGCAATTGTTGCTGCATTAAATTTATCTAGAGGCCATTGGTATGTTTGTCCTAAAGGTCATCCATATGTGATTACTGAAGTATGTATTGATATATTTTTTTTTGAAATCTATATAATCAAATAAGATATTTTTGTTTTTCTTTAATTTAGTGTGGTGGTGCTAATCAAGAAAGTCATTGTCCAGAATGTGGTGAAAGAATCGGTGGTCAAAATCATCAATTAGTATCAACGAATCGTCATTTTGGATTAATGGATGATTCACAATATGCAGCATGGTCGGACGAAGCTAATTTAAATATGATTTTACCAAATGTATGATCGATTTTATTTTATTTTGCAAATTAGAATTCAATTCTGTTTATGTTCTGTATGATTTCTTTTATTATTTATTTATAGTCCAAATAAACAAGCTTATGACATTGCCATATAAATATAAATAAATGTACTGTCTCAATCTAAAAAAAAATACTGAATAAAAAATGTATAATATGCTACTTTCGGAGTTTTTGAGATTAACTGAATCAATCTTATAGAATATTTGAATTTAGCTATTTAAATTAGCATTGAAAATTCATAATTTGTGTAATTGTATAATTATGTAGAGGATTAGAACTATTCGTGTTAAGTAATAAGAATCGCTCTCATAACGATATAAACCTGATTATGTTTCAAACTATGTGACAAATAAACGAAACTTCTCTTTTTTGTTAGTTATATATACAGAGAGAGATGTAAGCTGATGTATTAATCGATGGCTGATTTTTTTTAAAGCTTTTCCCCTCTGTTATCGTTTCAGCGGCGTCTGAAAGCTTTATACGCTTTTTCTTTCATAATTCCGAGAAATTTTGACAGAAGAGAGAAAATGATGATAGAAAACGTAATGGTGAGAGACTAGACAAGAACATCTCTGAAAACTGATCCTATATGTAGAGGTGTAAGCCGTGCGGCTGAGCCGCCGTCGCCGCCGATAAACTCGAAAAATTTTAAGCCGCTGCCGCCGTGAAAGTGAAAATTTTAGAAATTTTTAAGCCGTCGCCGCTGAGGCACTTTGATTACAGTCGCCGCGCCGCCGATAGTATTCGAAATTTTAAAATTTTCGAGCCGCCGCCGCCGGCAACTATTGAAAATATCGATAACATTTCATTTATATTTTCCTTAATTCGATACTTTTACATCTTGGAACCCCAATATATCTCTTTTTTCATTAACTTTCTCGCCTTCACCTTCACTTTCATGCTGGCTCTCTGACCAATCAGATGTTTGGGGATCGAAATTGTGAATGAACTCTTAATTCTGTGTTGGTTGAAAATTCTAAATTATCATTTTAATTTATGTCTTTTATATTAGATATATTTATAAATACAAGAAGAGACGAGTATTTTAAATTTTAATTAACAAAAACAAAATAAAAACAACAAACTTGAGTATGCTAGGTGCTTTTACATATTAACAATCGTGGTGGTGATTTCTCATCTATTATTTATCCTGGCAATTATATTTATTTTTAATTATAGACTTTTTTTATTATGTCTAGATGTGAAATAAAGTTTTTCCACATATGTATTTGAAAATAAAAAGGCCAAGATATTGAAATAGGCCTTGTCTACACTAAAAATTTTGACGCTGAATTAAGAAACATGATTGGTTGAACAGTTAATAAATATCTAAAACACTTTTAAAAAGTGCATTAAATTTATTGTACTTTTCAGAACAACGTTAAATTTGATGCACCAATCAATGTCTGATTCGATTTTCTAATGAGACTGACACAGTTTTCAATGGACGAGTCCTCTATGATTAAAGTGAACAAAAACCACGATTCATTTCGAAGACTAGGATTCTGATTGATGCATTAACTGTCAAATGTAGGCACGAATTGATGTAACACGAATTTGATACTACATTATATTCCTAGTGTAGACAAGGCCATAGACTAATATTTTTATGATAATGTAGTATTTTTTAAACTTCAAGCCGCCACCGCTGAGACACTTAAATTGCAGCCGCCGCGCCGCCGATGGTATTCGAAATTTTAAAATTTTCGAGCCGCCGCTGTGTAACCTTGGAATATCATATCTGCGCCGCCGAGCATTTTAAAAAAAATTTAAAAAACTGGCGCCGCCGCCGATCAGCCTATCGGCTTACACCTCTACGTATATATCAATAACACCCCATACAGATTTTATTATATCAATATTCTTGCAAAGTTCTTGTTCTCTTCTATCCAGAATATAAAAAACATCACTAAACACAATAAAAGAAAATAAATATTCGGTTATTTAACAGATGATTTACTCTTGATTATAATAAAAAGTGATAGTAATTTGTCTAGCTAATTTATCAAAAATACGTTTTACATAAGATATTCCGGTCTTTTGACAAAGATTTGGTAATACGGATTTACATAAGTCATGACATTGAATAGAATCTGAATCAATTTGAGTAAAACCTAAGATAGTGATTTTAAAATTTTATAGATTCATTCATTTCTTTTATTACCAATAGCCAATGAACCTAATCATTGACTAGTTTCATCAATATCAATAATTTTTATATAAATACGTTCATTTATATTAATTCATTTATTTGTAAATGTAATACCTGAAAACAAAAATAAAATGATTAAATTCAAATAGAAATAGAAATAACCATTATCAAATGATGTATGTCGAATGACTTTAAATGCATTATCATCTATTAGAATGTTTTGTCCGAATGTCTCTCGATGGAAGGAAATTGATGGAAATGTGGCGTTATTGTTCATTGCTGATACCCGTGCCATTCTAAAACAGATTTAGATTTCTTTTTTTATTACAAAATAGAAATTTTTTAAATTAAGTCAGTACATGGATTCTTCCCAGTAGTCATGAGAATAAAAATACGTCAAGCCATTCATTTTATAGCTTTACATGTAGTGATCTCTGTCGCTCAATTTTTGAATAAAAAAAATCGTTTTTCTAATATTGAAAATAAATTTATCTTGTTTAATGAAGGAATAGATAATTGGAAGCATAAACAGATTCTATGAAACTAACGAACATTAGAGGACTGTTATGCGATTGGATATAAAGTTCCTCAAACAATGGTGTATGTAACTTAGCTCCAACTGAAAGGAATAGATTGCATTCACAAATCGAAACACTACTTTGTTTGACGTTTTTCTCTATTAGATATAATAGCTAAATGGTATTCTGTGCTCGATGTTCGATTAAACTCAAGCAGATATTTCCTTACGAACAACAATAACATCGTGGTTTATCTACTGTTCGTTTAGGAAATGTATATGATGAAGATCGTTCATTTTGTATATCACATATCTTTTCAGATCTGTTTTTCTTTGTCATTTAATTCTTATTTATCACATGGCAACCAAATAATTCCTATTAGAAAAAAAATTTCATCCTCTTTTCTAGTTGGTGGCGCTGCTTGAGGTGAGATAAATCTTAGTGGAATGTCAAAACAATATTCCGCAAGAAATATGCTGTCACATAGGACATTAAAATATCGTGAAAAAGGTCAACATAAACAAGATGAATTACGATAAAATGATCGTGAAGGTATGTGACGTGAACGAAAATGACCGTGATAAGCAACAATCACAACTTGTTTCGTCGGATATTAAACGAATTACATCTAGCAGTGAATCAAAACCAGAATTGCCATCTCTTAAGCTTTTTGCGGAAAAATTCCGCAATTTTTTCGCTTTCCGCTTTTTTCCGCCTTTCAGTAAAAGAATAAAAGCTGTCTTCAATAGTTATTTTTTGAGCAAAAATGAACAAGATACAAACGCTGATCATTAAACACATTGATTTGATTCTGTTTCAAATCCTATTTAATTAGTAGTAACCGAGTTTCTAATAACAAAAATTTGTGTTTGCTATTTAGCTTTAAGTACTGCCTACTTCTCACAAACTTCAGCACTCGTGCGTTTAGTAATCAGGAAATCTTCGTTATATGTTCTTTGCTATGAGTTTTCATAAGACTGCTTAGCATAGAATAGAAAGGTTTCTACGATCAGGCGTTTTGCCTGAAATACTACTTTCTTTGCTTCCACGTATAAACAAGTTTTTTAAAAGAAAGGATACTCTACGGAAAGCAGTATCTTGTAGTATTATAGTAGACAGTGATCATTCATCTTCATAGCTTATCACTGCCGTTGACTGGACGGTTGCATAAAAGGATATTCTTTCTCAATTCCTGAGCTCGAAGAGACGAATTTCTCGACTTTACTTTTTTGCTTTAATAATATATTGGAATACTTCCTGCAAAACAGTTTTAAAAAAGCTTTCCGCTATTTTGGACTTGATGAGGTGGCAATTCTGATCAAAATCTCCAGAAACAAATATAGATTCTGAGTCTTTTTGATATCTTATGACAAAAGACAATAAATAATTCTTTTTTTTTTCTTACGTGATCCTATTGATACAGGTCGTACTTAAAATAAATCGAAGTTTCATTCGGATAAAAAGGAATGCACCACTCGACTTTAACAACAACGTTTAGAACAAGAAAAAATTCGTATGGAAAATATTCTTAAAGGAAATTCTTTATTAAACAATTCATCAAATAAATTTCGTGTCAAACGTCGTTGAGATGATGATGTCGTTTTTAAAAATTGTGCTATGTCCTGCACAATTGATTAATGATAGATTACATAGGATTTTTCATCGACATTTTATGAAATAAATATTTATTTTGTTTTATATAAAGACAAGAACTTCTTGTTATGAGATATATTTTTTGTTTTAGATAGAGAAAATATGTCAGAAAATATCCAAAAAAAAGGTACAGAAAATTTCATATATTGAATAGATTTTTTCTATGATATTTCTCTGAAGATTGCTGAATTAATAAATCAAGCATCACTTTATAGAAAAGATAGTGTTAAAGTTCAACATGTACAAGAACTTATTTTATGAAAAGATCCAAGTTTACTTGATAATTTTCTTGAAGTTTGTTTTATTTCAAAGGCAAAAAAAAAACAATTTTTTTTGATTTATTTAATATATATTTAGGAAGTACTTGGTTTTCAAACAGATAAAAGTCTAGAAGTAAGATAAACAATAATATCATTTATTGAAGAAGCTTGGTTAGTTGAAAAAGATATTTATTTATGATAATTTAAAATTTTATTTTGTTTTTTAATCCTTTGGTTACGAGTTTTTTTCAAAGATGAATCTTTTATTTTTCGTTCTAAAACAGTCTGCAATAATCTTTATTAGTATATAGGAGTATTTAGAAGTGTTTTAAAGTATGATAATTCATCGCTATCTATATCTGATGAATTAACTTCATCAATTTTCATATTATGTGGATCATTAGTTGTACAGGTTGCCATATTGAGCAAAGAGTTTTACGTAATAGGTATGAATAATAAAATGTTTATGTGAAAACACGTGTAGAATAACTAGAATTTATTTTACTTGCGTGAGAATATATCCAAAGATATAAATGTTTCTGGCATAGAATCGAAGTTTTATTTGTACGAGAGAATGCATTGAAACAGAAAAGAAAGACAATATACCAGGATTCACTAGAGCGAGGTATAATGTAAGAAACAAGGATGTCAGAATGCAAGAGAGAGTATATACACACATAGCAATGCGGGATGATGACGCAATAATGTTGTCAAGATAAGAGAAAAAGAGAGAAATCCTTTCGACAGAATCTAAATGATATTATAATGATGATAATATCTGCAAAACTTCAAATACCATATATGGGTGATCCGTAACCAAAGGGTTAAGTCAGCATGTTCCAGAAGTTATTGTTAAAGTGATTGATAGTCTTCGACTTTTACTTTATGATGATAATGCACTTGTACAAAAGAAACTAATTGTTAGTATGATAACGATTTATAAATTAACATTAAAGGCGAGAATTTTCTATTTTAAAAAAAAATCTGTTGAAAGATTTTGTTTAGTGGCTTTCGAAATCTCGACTTGTTGATGAAAATGTACGTAGTATGTGGGAGAGTATGGTTAATATGAAAATTCATATTATTGCTATGCTTGATTCGGATAATGATGGGTAAATTGAAGAGAATTATTTTTATTTTTTTATAAATTTCGATATAATAGACTTCGTATAGTGGCAATTAAATTTATTGAAATGTTTGCACTTGTTTTATCACGACGTACACAAGTAAAAATATTAATAAATAATTGAATTTAAAGAAAAACAGAATTGTTTTCATATAGGATTCAATTGTTACGAGTTCAAATGAACAAGATTTTTCTTTAAATTTATTACAAGATGATTATCGAATATTACGTTGAAATAAACTTGAACAAGAAGGAAAAGATATAATGGTAAAATTACTTGAATTTACTCTTTCTCAACATTTATCAAGGTATTCAATCGAATTCTTCTTTTTTTAATTCATTTATTTTATTCATTTAGTGTTAATCTAATAGTAGCAATGGGTGCATAGCGAATATTGCTCGACAAAGACCAGATTATATATGTCGAGTTGTACAAACATTTGAAGCATTACAAGGTAAATTTTTTTTAATTGATTTGTAAAATTTAAAAATGAATATTTTTTAGTTAATTTACCACCAACATTGGTCAATTCTCAAGTTACTATTGTTCGAAAGATAATTAAATTAAAATTATTAAGTCTTCTGAAACATCCTACTTCATTCAATTTTCAACCACAAATTACAACATTATTAACTGATCTCGATGCTACACAAGCTTAAATGTCGTGGCCAGAACTTTTGGTCAGCCCCAAGTATATATAACAAGAGATTTCTCCAATAGTTATGGTGATAGATTATTCAAAAACTTTAACGAGCTTGAAGCATACAATAATTCAAAAAAGTCAATGTTAGGTTTTATTGTTTAAAGTTCTCTAAAAAATATATTGAAAGTTTTTATACGAAAAAAATACAACAAGAATTCAAGTCCATCAGGCACGTTTGTAAACGATTATATATGGAGTAAGGATAATTTACGAAGAAAAATAATACTTTTATATTCACTTAATACATACGATCCGTGTACAGTATCTATTTTGCTTTGTATACGGTCGCGCAAATATACAATTATTATAATAATTGTATATTTGCGCGACCGTATACAAAGCAAAATAGATCTTTGTGTAAGAGGCAGAAAAAAAACCTTTTTTCTATTTTTAAAAATCAAAAGCGGAAAGAAATTGTTCAAAAATTAGGTTTTAAATAAAAATTGAATGAATTTTTTAAAATAAGTATGAAATGAAAAAAGTTTTTTTTTTTGTTTTGAATAATTAGTAAAATTTATGACTTATACTTAAACTTGATTATATTTTAGATTTACATCGGATTTATTAAGATTAGTTTGATAAGATGTATCTAAACTATTACTCATTTTTTTTTCTCTATGACTTTTGTATTTGTAATAAGCAAGGAAAAGAATTATTAACTTTTTCTTTTTATTTCTCAACTTGCAAAAAACTAAAACTTCCTACGATTCAAGGAGATTAACCTATGTTTGATTTATTGACTCAGTTGTTTTTTCTGATAGAGATTAAAGCAAAAAACAAAAACCAATGTAGAATTTATCGGCATAGCACGGAAAACAAATGGATTCTAGTTTGATACTATATTGATCTTCGGTATTCTTCACAGGCACGTACCGAGAGGGAGGGGAGCAGGGGGCCCGGCCCCCCCCCCCTCAGGACTGAAAACGCCTGTAGGGGAGTACAGGTAGACGTTTTTTCCCAGTGAATTTTTTTAATTTTCCCATGGTGGCCCCCCTCATGAGTTTGGGCCCTCCCCTCAGAAAATTTCTGGGCACGTGCCTGATTCTTCATGTATGCAATTTTCAAAAATGAATAGAAAAATCATTTTTATTTTTAATTTTTTTTTATTCTCTTGTAACCTTTAAATTGTCAATATCATTTTTGATTATTCCAAAACAAAAAGAATACTGGCGAACTTGTACATCTCGCCTCATTGATTTACCTTCATTAAGTTATGTTAATTTTTTTTTTTTCTTTTGTCACTATGACTACACTGAATGTGTATCTCTTTTTCTCTAAGAAAACATTCATTATTGCAAACATGTTCCGGCAGGTTTATGTGTATCGATGCTTGTCCTATAATTTCTCAGTATTACATATCCTAAAAAAATCTGTTTGATTGTTAGATGAATAAATGAGTACGATCGTAGAGTATGTGATAGTATCGTTTTGTTCTTTATTCTTTTGTTATTCATACAAGGTAGAGAAAAAAAAGGACTTCACATTGTTAGCGTCAATAGATGTTGCTTCATGACGCTAACTTATTTTCTAATATATAATTTTTTTTTCTCTTTCCTGTGTGATATATATATATAATATTGTTGATCATCATATATAGGATGACCGTTCACATTATGTCATTTTTTCCTTTTCTTTTCAATTGCGTTATTTAATATTTTGTCTCGTGATTTCTATTACGATCTTTTATATATATATATATATATATATCATATACATCTTTCTTTTTCTTTGTTACATACACATGAGAACTATTATTTCTATTCACCTCGTTATAAAGTTCATCGTTATTATTATTGTTGTTAATTATCATTAACATCAATAAAACCTTTATTGATAATAATTAAAATTTATAATTAATCTAACATCTGATTATACATTTGATTAACTGAACACTACTTCTTTTCTTCCACTCCAAATATAATATATTATTATATTAAAAATATGCATTTATCAACTACAAAGTTCGGGAGATAATCGGTGTAAGCTCTCAAAATTGTTAAGCAGACTAAATATCATTTCTACTATACATTCCCTCAAACGAGAGTCTTACACACATTGAATTGAATCATAATGATTAATGATAACAATCGGTTAAAAAGAAGAATTTATATTTTAGATTATTATTATTTTTCCTTCTCTATTACATTTAATTGAATTCTTGTTGTGATAGCCATCAGTAATATGTTGATTATATAACTTGATGAACGATATTTGCCAGTGTTTAGACTTGTTAATCAATGAATAAAATACCATTTTTAAAAAAGAAAGAAGTTGAAGGTATGCCAAATGAAATAATTCTTAAATTAAGAATTGATATGTTTTGTAATTGTTTTTTTTTTTTTTAGAGGAAAATCGAACAATCCGAGCTAATGATCCTGAAGCCAATACTGCAAAAGAATTTGCTGTAAGTTTTTTTTTTTCTGTCAATAAAATAAATTAAAGCTAATATTTTTCTTTTTAAGGGTAATCAAATATCGACGTCAAAATATAATTTAATAACATTTTTACCTAAAAATCTTTTTGAACAATTTCGTCGATTAGCTAATGCTTATTTTTTATTTCTTCTATGTTTGCAAGTAAAGACAAAAAAAAAACTCATATTTTCATAATTTTGAATTAATTTATTCTTATTTGACTTTTTTTTTAGCTTATTCCACAAATTAGTTCATTAGCACCTGTTACAACTATTTTACCACTTGTTTTTGTCTTATCATTAACTGCAATAAAAGATGCTAGTGATGATATTGTTAGTATATGAATGTTATGTCTTATTTCTTTTCTTTAATGCTCGCACTCTCATATTATACTCTGATATCACCGAGACAGCAACGTGATGGTATTACAGAACGAAACAAAAGAATAATCTCTCTTCGCATGGAATCGACCCATGCATCTCCTGCTTTCCGGGCAGTCGTATTAACCACTGTACTAGAAAGGAGTGTATCTTATTCTGTTTGTTTCGTCTTATGAATGAAGGGGAACACTTCAGTTCATAACAATGAAAAAAAAAAAAATTGAAATTTTTTTTTTCTTTTTACAAATCGAATATTTATTTAAGGCAAGGCATCGTAGTGATAGTCAAGTAAATAATTGTGAAACCAAAACAGTAGTTGGAAATGAATTAGTAACTAGGAAATGGAAAGATATTAAAGTGGATGATATGATACGATTAGAAAATAATGAATTTGTTACTGTAAGATATTTATGAATATTTAAAAAAAAAAAAAAAAAAAAGAAGAAATTGTGTTTATTTAGACTGATATTGTTCTTATATCAACAAGTGAACCAAATAGTCTTTGTTATATAGAAACAGCTGAATTAGATGGTGAAACAAATCTTAAAGCACGACAAGTTTTAGAAGAAACATGTGCTCTTGAAGATCATATTGATCAATTGTCGAATTTTCATGGTAGAAATATTAAAATTAAAATTTACTTAATTGAGTTTGTTTTTTTTTCTCTAGTGAGAATTGAATATGAATCACCAAATAATAATCTTGAACGATTTGAAGGAAATTTAACATGAAAAGGAAAAACATTACCATTAAAAAATGATAATGTTCTTTTACATGGCACTAGGCTAAGAAATACACAATGGGATTTTGGAAGTAAATTACTTGAGGAAATTTTTTTTTAAATATTTTATTTTTGTTTTTTTTTTGTTTTTCTAAATTTCAGTTGTTTGTTATGCTGGTCCAGATACGAAATTAATGAAAAATAATGGAAAAGCAAAATTTAAACGAACTAAAATTGATTATTTACTTAATCGCATCATTCTTGGTGTAAGAATATAAATATTTTTGTAGGTTGTTTTTTTTTTTGAACTAAATTATTTCTTTTATGTAGATCTTTCTTTTCTTATTAATAATGTGTGCAATAATGACAATCTGTAGTGACTTTTGGGAATTATTTGTTGGTTATGATTTTTCTATATATTTACCATGGGAAACATATGTATCTACTAATCAACAGATTGATGCACTTGAAATAAGTTTATTAGTATTTTTATCATATATAATTATATTAAATATTGTTGTATCAATATCACTTTATGTTAGTGTTGAATTTATATGTTTATTACAATCTAAATGGATTGATTGGGATATTAAAATATATTATGAACTAAATAATGTACAAGCACAAGCTTGTACAACAACATTAAATGAAGAATTAGGACAAATTGAATATATTTTTTCGGATAAAACAGGAACATTAATACAGGTAATTTTAAGAATAAAGAATTTAATTTTTTGTTTAAATAATCTTCAACGAAGATTTTTATATCTAGTAGATCTTGAAGAAATTAGTAAATCTTCAAAAACGATAACTATTTTTGCGAAATCTTTAATCTATGTATTAGTAAAATCTTGACTTGTTTATTGATATATATATATATATATAACATGATGAAAATACTACGATAGAATATCGAAAAGACACGTATCATGTACGAGGAAAAATATCCAGGTGTCGCACGCCGTTTGATCCCTTATTTTGGTTACGAATAGAGCTTATTCAAAACAAGAAAATTTTTAAAAGACTTCGGGCCCATGCATTACCCAACTAGAGCTATGATCGTATTAGTAGATTTTCGGTCTCTGAGCTAGTTTTTCATCTAAAATTTTGCCTATTGACTCATCTCAAGGTTGCTAGAGTATCGTAAAAATTTCAGCACAAACAAATATATTCTTCTTGAGATATCAAGTATTTAATGAATGTTTATATACGACAAAGAAAGCTATAAAATGAAGTTGTCTTAGACACTTGATATGTCAAGAAAAATACATTCGTTTGTGCTGAAATTTTTAAGATATTTTAAAAGCTGTGAGACTCGTCTATCGACGAAATTTCATAAATATGAGTTGTCTGAAAAATCTGAAGCTTTAAGAAAAAAAATCTCAATAGTTTAGTCAAACTCAAATCCTTTTAGGGTTTTTATTATAATACTATGTAGTATCTATAGACACAAAAAAAATCATTGAAATCGGAATGGAGCAGCTGAAGAGATTCCTTCATGAGCCTAGAAGCGGAAAACCTATTAAAACGGTAATAACTCTGATTGGATAATGCATGAACTCGAGCTTATTTTTGGTTTTCTCAGTTTTTATTTACACTGCAAAAAAAATTATAATTTCCTTATAGTCTAAAGCATAATAACTTGTTTTCATATCGCAAGTAAATATTTAACTAATTCGAGAATCGATTTATATGAATTAGAAATGATTGTATATTATTGAGAAAACTAACTCTGTGTAAATAAATTCATAGAATAAGTAATAGGCGAGGAAAGACTCTTAGCAATATTTTGTTTTTTTTAAGAAAATTATTTTTTTACCGTTGTTTATGCTACTTCGAAGTGAATATGCTGATTCTGAATATTATCTTCGTTGTGTGTTAATAAAAAATAAAATGAAGAAATTTTTTTTCTTGTAAACCTTGAGCTAATTTAGAATTTTGCTATTGAAAAATTTTATGAACGCTAAAGAACTATTTCAAAGTCAATCAGTAGAAAGTTCATTTTTATTTCTTCTATTCTTTATATCTATTCGGAGCATTTCATAGATACTAAATCTTATGATTATTCATCAATCTGAAACATTTCAATCAGATTATATCAATTCTATTGTCGATATTAGATTAATTATTAATATCAATTTTAGAAATTAAAACGTTGTTTTTTTTTTTTTTCTAAGATGTTGTTAGTCAAAAGAAAATACTTTATTTTTATGAAATTATTTCTATTCTTGTTAAAAATTACGTTCAAAAAAAATTCCAAGTTTTATTATATTTAAAAACTGTGCGTTATAAATATAAATGCATGTTTTCTTTTTCGAATTATCATTTACCAATGCTCTAGAATGTTTTATTTAGCTGCTGTAAAATCATCTCCTGATAAATAGTTCAGACACTGATGGAGAATAAGATGGATAATAAAGCAATTCATATTTCAAATCATGAGTAATAGAAGATATAAAGTGTAGTGAAGCATTATCATAATGCAAAATGTTACTAGCTGAAATTAAATCTTGCCGTTGCTTTTTAATTTTTGGATGAAATTCTTCTAGCAAAAGATGTACGTACTATAGTATAGTAATGGACATATTCAGTAATATGTACTGTTTGAGAATTACCCTATTATGTTTCAAGAAAAATGAATATAAAACTTTGCCAACAGACTTTTCTTCTTGTAGTTTTGTTGTTGATGGTGAATCAATTAGCTTGTTTTCATTGTTGTCAAAAATTCTTTATATATTTGAACACGTTTGTCTCATTGATCAAATGTTAGTAAATGCATATAACATGCCTAGAATATTCGCTATTAGCTGAATTATAATTCGATGGTCTTCTATTACTAGATTTTCAATAGGTTTAATAGTTGTTTCATCTCCTGCAGTAATTGATCAGTCCATCCTAGAATCATTATCAATGTTTAACTATTCATCCTTAAAGTGACGAGTCCATTGAAATACTCTATGATACTTGACATAATCAACTTTCAATAAATTTTCATTACATATTCTCTATGAAATAATAAGAGCAAGAAAATAGATAGGATATATTGATAATGATTAGTGTTGATTTCATCTCTGGATGAGTGACTTTTCAAAACAAGAAGCTTTATTATTGAACGATGTTCAAGTTTTTAATTTGACATCAGTGCATTTAAGTAGATCTGAAAAAAATTATTATTCTGGTACATAAATGTTTAATCAATTCAAAACTTATGATGTCAATAGATAGAAAATTGTGTGAACTATGAATAGACAACTATTTCAAAATAATAGTACTTTTTGTTGTTTTTAAATAAAATCAGTATCGGAACTTTTTCAACGACTCTTGTAATACTTTTGTATAAAAGAAAAACTTTAGTTCAATTTTTTTTTTCTTAATTAATAAAAAGTTCATTTATCATTATATTTAGAATATAATGACATTTAATAAATGTTCAATACGAGAAAAACTTTATGATTATGTAACTGATGAAGCTGGTAATGAAATACAAGATACTGAAGTACGATTTAATTTTTTTTTTTGTTATAAAATGAAATTTATTTTCTAAAATTCATGAAATTATATTATAGAAATTAAAACCAATTGAATTTGAAGAAAAAGAAAAAGATGATTATTTTCAATGGTATAATCAAATATTACTTGATACTATTAAAAACAATGATAAAGATGTAAATAATTTTTTTGCATTATTATCTCTTTGTCATACGATTATGCCCGAAGAAAAAGATGGAAAAATTATATATCAAGCACAATCATTTGATGAAAATGTACTTGTTTCTGCATCACGTACATTTGATTTTGTATTTCTTGTACGTTTTATAAATTTTAAAAAAACAAAAATAATGATCATTGATTATTGTATCTTCTTCTCTTTGTTAGGGTCGTACTTAAAGTCGTATTACAGTTCGATTTCGAGATAAAGAAGAAACATATGATTTATTGAATATACTTAATTTTGATAATGATTGCAAACGAATGTCGGTGAGTATTTTAAAAAAATCCAGTTTTTGATTGTTTTAATAATTTGATTTTTGTTTTTCTATTTGATAGATTATTGTTAAAAAAGATGGAAAATTAGTTTTATATTGTAAAGGTGCTGATAGTAAAATAAAAGAACGTTTAGACTCATCAGAAAAAGATATAATGACTGAAACAGATGAACATTTAAATGTAAATGAAATTTTCAATTTTTAATCTTATAATTATTTTTTGTTTGTTTGTCTTGTAGAAATTTGCTACGGAAGATTTTCGTACACTTTATTTAGCATATAGAGAATTGAATGAAAGTGAATATAGAGAATGGTCTGAAAAAATGAATCAAGCAAAGTATGTTTATTACTTCAAATAAAACTCAACAGAGCAATCATAAGAGTATTGGATGTGCTCGTGCAATATCTCTTGTGTTAGTATTTGAGTTTCTGGGATATCTGGAGAAGACATTATATGTGGTTCGATTCGATTTAGGTATGCACCAGTTCCAGTTTTATACTGGTCAACTGGTACTCATTTAGTTGGTTGAGCAATATTTATTTTTTGTTTTTTTTTTTTCAAGTCAGTTTAATGCTTAAATTACTACTAGTTATCATTCAAAACATATTCTTCTTTTCATCATAACCAGTGGAAACAATAAAAGAGATCTAATAGCCAAATGACTAACTGCATAATCAAAAAAAATTTATAATAAAATAAGTATGATTGTGAATGAGAGTGTAGAAAAAATCTTATCGATAGAGCAAAGAATATGTTCTGAATGATAATTAGTAGCGATTTAGGCATGCACCAGTACGAAATCAATAAGCCGGAAAAAACCATCATCCATACATATTTATTACTATTTTTAAAGCAGTACTAAATGAATAACACCCAATTATTGGAATTGGTACATGCCTAGTTCAGTTCGATTCCGAAAAAAAACATGGATCGATCCTATCTGTCACTAGTATGTATTGTCCAAAATCATCATTTATCACACTTAAACACTGTATCGAAACAGAAAATAGCAAGAAATCGACCCACATAACGGGCACCGGAACATTTGATACATTTAGATATGAGAAATAGTAATTTTGGACAATACATACTGGTTCAAACCACAAAATGCCGCTTCCTAGCCTACCTGACTAAGAGAACAAAATTTAGGTCGGAGAATCAACTAAGAGTAAGGACTGACTCTGCAGATAGTTGGCTCTCTTTTGATATCATTAACATTTATTTTATGCTATCAATAGACATATCTGATGGTTTAAATAAATTCTGGTAGCCTCTCAATATTTATTTCATCAATTACGATAATTGAAGAACATAGATCAGTTTTCATTAAGACTAAAATTTATAATCTATGAATTAATAAATCAAAAAAGAAAGAATAGATTTGAAAATTTTTATTCTTCAATAAAAGAATTTTTCTTCTTTAGTACGAGTATGGAAAAACGAGAAGAAAAAGTCAAAGATGCATATGAACAAATAGAAAATCATCTCAAATTAATTGGTGCTACAGCTATCGAAGATAAATTACAAGATGGTGTACCTCAATGTATTGAACGTTTAGCATGTGCTGGTATTAAAATTTGGGTTTTAACTGGTGATAAAATTGGTAAATTAAATTTCTATCTTTTTTTTTTGTCAATTGAACATTTTCTTTTTTTTTAGAAACCACTTATAATATTGGTCTATCATGTCGTTTGTTAACAAATGATATGGAAACTTTTTTTTATTGAAAAAGAAAATGAAGATGGTATTGAAAAAAAATTAAAAGAAATTCGAAATAGAATGATTAGTAAAATTGAACAATTATTTGATGTTCATATTGACAATAAAGACAAAAGACTTGATTGAAAAGATTGGGGAATTGATGTTATGAAATTTGATCAATATAGAAGAAATGATAATAATACGAATAATGGTAATGCAAAACGTTCAAATGGTCATGCAACAACAACAATGGATACAAATCCTAATGAACATGAATAATTTGAAGGTTTTGGTTTATTAATTACAGGTCAAGCATTAGGATATGCATTAGAAAATAAATTAAAAATGAAATTTCTTGAACTTGGTACAATGTGTAAAGCTGTTGTTTGTTGTCGTGTAACACTATTACAAAAAGCTCAAGTTATTGAATTAGTTATGCAAAATGAAAAAAAAACTACATTAGCTATTGGTGATGGTGCTAATGATGTATCAATGATACAAAGTATGAAACAAAAAAAAAACAAACAAACATTTTTGTTTTATATTCAAGAAAAATAAAAATGTTTTTTTTTTTGTTTTGTAGAAGCACATATTCGAGTTGGTATTAGTGGACAAGAAGGTCGACAAGCTGTTTTAGCAAGTGATTATAGATTTGGACAATTTCGTTTTCTTGAAAGATTATTATTGGTTCATGTTCGTTGGTCATATTTACGAATTTCAAAATTTTTACGTTATTTTTTCTATAAAAATTGTGCATTTACATTATGTCATTTTTGGTTTGGATTTTTTTCGGGTTTTTCAGCACAAGTAAGTTATAAAGAGAATTAAAAAAATAGAATTATTTCATTTCCTCATTATTAGACAATATATGATCCATTCTTTGTGGCAGCATATAACGTTTTCTTTTCTTCATTATCAGTTCTGGCATTAGGTGTTTTCGATCAAGTATGTCAAACATTAATTTCTATTTTCTATATATTATCGAAAAAATATTTTTTCAATTTTTTTAAGGATATTAGTGCTCTTTTTTTTCAAAAAAAAAAAAAGATTTACAAGTCTTTTTGATTTATGCGGTCTAAAAATGTCTTTCACGCCTTTCATATGTGCTGTCATGACTGTACCACCAATAGAATCAGCTCATAATGAATAGAAATGATACACCCAATATATTTTTTTTCTTCTAAAGGAAATTAATATTGCTGCTTATTAGAGTAAAAATTATGGTATAGAATCGGTGTGTTTGTCATAGTGCATAAATAGGTTACATTATTTGATTCGAACAAATAAACAATAAACGATCGTACAATAGACTATGAATTAGCTCTTTCTTTGTGATCTATTCTTTTTTAGTTCGTCCGCCACGAATATATAAATATGCGGAATTTTATTCAATGATCAGGAACATACATAGTGGTGAATATCGTGGTGAACATCGTGATTATTTTACCAGAAATAATGTGCAAGCCAAAGTACGCGGTAATATTTTTTTAACTAAGTATTTTTATTTTAATATTTTTTTTTAACAGTTAAAGAAAAACTAATTAGTTCCTCAATTAGTTCCTCATGGTTATGAATATGATTTATATATACACATCGTATTTATTTGTAGATTAGTAAGAAACAGAATTTCTTATCTAAAAGTAATTTGATTGCTTTTTTTTAGAATATGGAAGTCAAGAAAACTGCTGCACAATTACTACAAGAGATCGCCCAAAAACACACGCAAGAAAAGATTGCAGATCAACTCAAAATTGCATCACTCGAAGTCGAAAATAAATTACTTCGTGAAGCATTATTCAACAACAATCAACAATCAACGTCGTCATTCAACAACATGGTTTATGGTATTGTTCAATATGCTCCGGTGTTAATTGGCTTATTAATGGTTATTCATTACTGGAAATGAATATCAAAATGGACATGGACATAAATATGGACAATTTTTTTTTTCTAAAATTGTAAAGGAATTGATTTCCTCTTTTTCATTCCTGTAACGTTGTGTTTCTTTCTTGTAAGTTCAATTTCATCAAATAAAAATAGAAATGATGCCTATTAATATCAATACATTATATTTTATACAGTTAACAACAATAATAGTAAAAAAAAAAGTCTCAACATAATAAAATAGGCGTCGGTTCTCTTTGAGCGATCCACTAATTAAATTCTCATAGCATTATAATGCAATGCGCATGTATCGATTGAGAGTGTAGAAGGATCGATCAGATAAATTCACATGGAATACAATAATAAATGATCTAGATGAATTAATTATTTTGTCATCTATAAGATATGAATTAAACTGTTGATCATTATCAATCATATACATTCGACCAGAATTGCCTCTTACAGCTGATTGACAACTAATTTCATATGTACCATTAAGACTTTGGACACAATAACGTGCATGATCAAACAATATATATTTGATCAACAACACGTTTTTATTGTGCACAAAAAACAAATTAACACAAATAACGAATACATAATTTTCCAAAAAAAAAAAAAAAAAAGTCAAAACTTGAAGTGAATATACCAAGTTATCAAATTTTCTTTGTTTTTATTTCATCAAACACTGAGATAAAAAAAAGATAAAAATGCTTTCGCTGTTCATTCATATCAAGAAAAAAAACAATAAGCAGAGTGGCAAGTCAGACAGACTTGAAACCCTGGAACTATCATTCCTTATCTTTTCTATCGATCACCTCGATTGGTAGATATCTTTCTTTTCTTTGTTTATATTCATCTTTTTGTTTATTCGAGGACATCGAAATTTTCCACTCTTATATTATATATTCGAGGACATCGAAATTTTCCACTCTTATATTATATATTCGAGTACATATTGTTTTGCGCGTTCTCTCCTTTCTTTTATCTTTCTCTTTTTCTCTCTTTTTGTTGTGGTCCATATATGAACTATATGTCTATGTTTTATTCGGTGGATAAAAAAAAAAAGAAATAAAAATAACAATAAAAATAAAAAATATCATATCAACTATTGATTTTGTCGATCTAGCCCAGCAAATCCGGAAGAAAACAAAAGGCAAGATTGACACAGAGGAATAGTTGAGATTCTTGAGCGGTACACATCGAGATGAAAAACTTTTCTTGCAAAATGCATTTGACAAATTCGAGAAAGATTTTATATGACATCAACTGTCAATTTACTTGGTTTTTAATCAAACTAAATTATTAAAAAAATCATAGTTTAAGGAGAAAATGTATAGATAATCTTATCAAGCATATTTTGTTGATTGGTCATCGGCTGTCGAAATTGTCTTTGACTAAGTATTTTAGCTATCTTTTGTGCACTCCATGTTTTCATTGTGGCAGTTGTCTCTCAAGATGAGATTATTAACTATAGAGTACAACTTGCTCTGCTTTTGATTGATCTATTCAAAACCATATATAAGTTGAATGAGTATATTGGAAAACAATAGAATTTCTGATGTTCTATTTTGAAATAAAGTTCGTTGGACAATACTATCCACATGAAGTGCCGCAGCTTGTATAGAAGATTTTACTTCTGAAAAAATTCTCATTCTATCAGTATCAAAGTGAGATGCATTGCTAGAGTACAGTTACATATTAAATGATGATGCAAAACATTTCTGCTTAGTGACATGGATAATTATTATTTCCTCTGCATTATTTTAGTTACAACTTTACAGAAAACAGTTTTGCAGGCAATTATCCATCTATCTGTTTGCTTTTAAAAAAGTATCATGTACAATGAGCTTTCATTTATGAGTATTTATTAAGTGATTCAATCAAGATCAAGAAACTTTTTTCAATGTCATAAGTCACATTACATCTTCTCTGTAAATTATTTTTTTATGATACGGTTCATCGAATACTTCATTGTTCAAAAAAATTTATCATATAAAATATAACATTGCATATAAACGGCTTGTGATTACTAACCTTTGTCTTTTTATTGTAATTGTCAGGCTTTTAGTCTCATCCATCTGTTATTTTAAAAATATGACTGGCTAATAAACAAAGTATATATATAACCTTTGAAAAAATGCTTTATTATTTTAATCTCGAAATAGTTTTCCATCACTCGATAAAAGCGTATTTAACAATCGAGAAAATATATTAGAAAAAAAATTCTTTTCAAATATTTTCACAAAATATAATTCTTTCATTAATAATTGTTTTTGATCTATTGATATGAATTTTAATGCTAAAAAGATTAATGTTTGTCTATAAATCCATAATAATTCTCTATCAAAATAGAATTTTAACATATTTTCATTAATTTTCAATTCTTGTTCAATTAAATTTTCATTGACATTTTTTTTCGATAAAAGAAAAGTACGAAATGAAAATCCACTTGAATCTGAAATATTCTTTTCTAACCATAAACGATTTCGATCTAATTCTTCATCAATATTAATATTTCAGTATTGAATAATCCATCGACGATATAATCATGATGCATAATTAATAATATGTAATTCAGCTGTTCGATCACATATTTCTAATTCTTTATTAATTGATATATTATTAATATTTTCTTGTTTTAATATCCAACGTCTATATCGAAATAATTGTTCACTTTTAGGTTTTAAATGCAAAAGAACTTCCAAAAATTGAAGTTCATCTTGAATATTTATTACATTCGATAACACTAAACGTCGACGTATATTCCAACTTGTTAAACATTCAGTTACATAACAAAGTAAAACACGTGTTAAAATATTTAATTGTGAATTATCTTGATAATGTTTTGAAAATATAAATGAATAACATAAATTAACAATTGGTTTTATTTCATAAAGATTTAAACATAAATAAATATTTTCTTCACAATGACAATAGACTGTATATTCATCAGTTGATGTTAATGGCATAAATTCAATTGATTTACATTGTTCAATAGATGATGAAAGTAATGAAAGCAGAGACCAATCTGTTACAGACATGTGAAGTATTTTTTAACCTGAAAATATTTTATTTGGATTTGTATTTTATTAAAGAAAATTGATCATAGAATTTATTTTTTTTTTTATATAAAAAATATGACAAAAAAAATATTCGATTAATCATCTTCGATTTCAAAGATGTTTGTATATTCTTTTCGACAATTTAGACAACATTTTTTTGCTGATTGTTTCTCAAATAGATCTTTACAATCAAAACAAAAGAAGACATGACCACATGGAATCAACACACAGTTCGTTGATCGATCACAACAAAGTTGGCATAAGCCTGCATTATCATCTTTCTCTTTCTCTGGCAATGGTTGATTTATTGTTTTTGTAAGTGAAATCAAACCAAATAAAGAGAGAGCTGTAATACGACCATTAAGGAAAAAAAATGGATAAAATTTTTGACTTGCATCAGCATATGCTACAGTTTTGGTTGGAGAGGTTGATTCATTATTACGCCACATATGAATTTCACCACTTTTATCATATACGAAACAATATTCATCAAGTTCATTTAATCTTTCATCGAATGCATCTTCATTTAGAATCCAAAATTCTTTACGATCATATAATGCTATTAGATCACCAGCTGGTAGTTTATTAAAGTCTTCAACAAACACCGATCGATGAGCATTGGTAAAACCAAGAATTCCTCTTTGAAAACAAAACATTATCAAATTAAATAGAAATTAAAAAACAATTATTTACGGTGTTCGATAGTTAGGATCAATAGATAAAATTCGTATATAAAATTCATCATCGGGTACCATTGGTAGATCAATAAATAAATAAGGTCGTACTAGGTTTTTAACATATAATAAATGTAAAATATATATTTAATAATTTTCATATTATAGTTTTAAACACACTTTTTCTAAAAACAACTTTATTTTGACAAAATAATTCTAGTTCCGGTCCATGCACATCATGGAAAACAATCGGTTGAACATCTGCATGTTTTAATGGAGTAAAATAACGAATTGATAATTGATCTGGTTTTTTATCATATTTCGTATAGAATCCTCTGCTACCATTTATTGTCTGTGGTGGTGTGGTAAAAACAACACCTAAAGAATAATAAACAAAATTTTTCATAGATTAAATCCTATATTTAAATTGCTCTTATCAATGACAAAAACTTGATACCAACAACTAATAATCTAGAAAATATGAGATAAAAAGTTTTCCTACTGAAAATGCTTATTTTAGCGTTTTCATTAGATGTTAATAAGCTCAATGCAAATATTGTAATTGTTATTAAATAACTATGTATGAAAGGCAGTTTTTTTTAAAAACTTTATGTGTTTTCGGACATTGGAGGATTGTTGACTTAATCATATGTCTTTCTCTTCACATGAGAAAGTTTTTAAAGACGTAATAGAACAGAAAAAAAAATTGCGTTTTGCTTTTTCTACATCGCTACCGCTTTTTATGACTGATAATGACCCACAGACAAGTCAAAATTTGCGTACATTTATTTAGCAATCAAGAGAAAATAATTATCGAACTAAAATATTTTGTAGTGAACTTACTAATCTAAAAAAGAAGTTCAATCCAAATCGAAGAGAGTTTTGGTCTCAGAATCGTTCCGGATATGTCTAATCCTCCTTCAAATTCAATTATGATTCGGATTCGAAATATTACAATCTATTTCATTTCCAAGAAATCTCTTTATATTTCGCTTCAGATAGAAATATTCAATAATATACCTTTAACATTGCCGTATATATAGAGGTGTAAGCCGTGCGGCTGAGCCGCCGTCGCCGCCGATGAACTCGAAAAATTTTAAGCCGCTGCCGCCGTGAAAGTGGAAATTTTAGAAATTTTTAAGCCGTCGCCGCTGAGGCACTTTAATTACAGTCGCCGCGCCGCCGATAGTATTCGAAATTTTAAAATTTTCGAGCCGCCGCCGCCGCCGGCAACTATTGAAAATATCGATAACATTTCATTTATATTTTCCTTAATTCGATACTTTTACATCTTGGAACCCCAATATATCTCTTTTTTCATTAACTTTCTCGCCTTCACCTTCACTTTCATGCTGGCTCTCTGACCAATCAGATGTTTGGGGATTGAAATTGTGAATGAACCCTTTATTCTGTGTTGGTTGAAAATTCTAAATTATCATTTTAGTTTATATCTTTTATATTAGATATATTTATAAATACAAGAAGAGACGAGCATTTTAAATTTTAATTAACAAAAACAAAATAAAAACAACAAACTTGAGTATGCTAGGTGCTTTTACATATTAACAATCGTGGTGGTGATTTCTCATCTATTATTTATCCTCCCAGGTCGAACATGCACGCTCGTAAACGGTCGTTTACGGAGAAAAACGGAGATATACGGAGGTCGTGCACGGCTTCCGCATACGATGCGCGTATACGGAGCGATACGGTGAGAAACGGATTCCGTAAACGGAGATCGTATAAAAATACGGAATGATTAAAAGATAAACATGTGTACTCCGTATACGGAGCTATACGCCTGCCGTATACGGTCGTATATCACCGTGCGCGATCGTATCTGGTCGTATACGGCTACCACAAGCGTACAATTCAATGAACAACACGTTTTGTGCAACTCACACATATTTTTCGAAGAAAAATAGTGAGTATAAGTTTAAATGCGAGATTTTCAGGCGCATCTTCCCTCATTACAGGCCTTAGCAGCCGTGGTCGAAGGTTAAAGAGCGCTGGACGCAAATTCTGCCATAGTAACCGACATCTAACAAGCATTAGACTCCTTTCCCATGATTCCTTAGCAACGGAAAAGAGTACTGAACGGTGTTAACAAACACGGCTCAGATTGTTCTAGAACATTTCAAAGTTTTTCTTGAAATTTAAATGGCTGGACTATGTTTTTGAATGTTATATATAGCACAGTTTCTGATTTTTGCTCAAATTAACGAGTATATAATACATATCAAAGATGAATGATGACTGGTGATGTATTGATTTACTACGATCGACATATGAGCAACACAAAAAGTATTAATTGATCAAATTCTAACTTGAGAGAACCATCGAAACCAGTATTTTATGAGTTTATCAAGGTCCATAGTAGTGCGTTGAGACCTGCCGCAGATACAATGAAGATGTACAACCGGCTAGTTTCTTAAATAAATCATTGGTTAGAACAAGAACAATAATAATAGTAATAATAATAGTAAATTAGGAAAAACGAAATAAAAAAAAAAAAATCACAAGCGAATGACAACAACGCAAATAAATAATGAAGCGCCAGTAAAAAAAATAAAAGAAAAAAATTCTGTTAGAAACGCAGAAATAAATAAGACAGATCGATTCTCTAAGGATCGATCATTCTTGAAAAGCAACTATTATCTGTTAGATATTATTCACTTTGCGTATTTTGTCTTGTTATGTTGAAGCTAAAGAAGATATAAAGTCCATGACAAATCTCAGTAAAATCACCACTAGAATTCTGCTCCCAATAACATATAAATAGATAGATAAAGGTTTGTCTAAAAGTTTTGGTATCTCATAGAAAAATTTATTTTCTCTCTCATAACAAATAAAAAGGGTCAAAATTGGACTGATAGTCAAGCAGTACCTAATGAGTATCAATATAAATGTTCACAACTATAGCTTAAGTTATAGTGAAGATATATAACTTCAAACTAAAAGATTTTTTTTTCGCATCATCTAATTAAGTAGCCGGTGCCCATGATAAACAGTCGTATTTTGTATCGTTTTTTCTCAGTTTCTAATATGTTTGTTGAAAAAAAAATATTAGAAGATGGAGCATCAAAAGATCTATAATCTATAATAGAAAGCTTATTTTATATATGGTCTTTTAGTTTTCAAAATCAGCAGATTTCGAAGTGAGTGAATTCTGATGTTGCGAAAAAGTTATTTTTTATACATGATAAATTCTTTTTTTCTTTATTTTCTCTTTTTATCATTCTCATCGATTTTGAACACTAAAAGACCATATATAAAATAAGCTTTCTATTGTAGATTGTAGATCTTTCGACGCTCCATCTTCTCATATATTTTTTTTCAAGAAACATATTAGAAATTGAGAAAAAAAGATAGAAAATACAACCGTTTATCATGGACACCGATTACTTGATTAGATGGTACGAAAAAAATATTTTAGTTTGAAGTTATGTCTTCACGACAACTTGAGCTTTAATTGTGAACATTTAGAGTGATACTCTTCTGATATTGCTTGACTATTAGTTCAATTTTGAGCTTTTTTTCATTTTTTATAAGAGAGAGAAGGGAATTTTTCTGTGAGGTACCAAAACTTTTGGATCAACCTTTAGACAGATAGATTGAGAAATACATAGATAGTTCGATAGATAGTTAGATAGATAGATAGTTACGTAAATAGTTAGGTAGATAGATAGTTAGATAGATAGATAGCTACGTAAATAGTTAGGTAGATAGATAGATAGTTACGTAAATAGTTAGGTAGATAGATAGTTCGATAGATAGTTAGATAGATAGATAGCTACGTAAATAGTTAGGTAGATAGATAGTTCGATAGATAGATAGTTACGTAAATAGTTAGGTAGATAGATAGTTAGGTAGATAGATAGTTAAGTAGATAGATAGATAGATAGGTAGATAGATAGATAGATAGGTAGGTAAATAGATAGTTAAGTAAATAGTTAGGTAGACAGATAAGTAGGTAAATAGATAGTTAAGTAAATAGTTAGGTAGATAGGTAGGTACGTAGGTATAGATAGGTAGGTATATGTCCTAGTGATAATATCACTGATGTGCGTGTAATTAAAGGTAAAAAGGTCAATATTTTTCCCACGCACGGCAAAACACGATCGTTTACGGCCGTTTACGAAAAAAAATACGGTCGTTTACGGCCGTAAATGCTCCGTATACGACCTCCGTTTTTCTCCGTATTTCGCCGTATACGGCCACGGAGATATACGATCGTAATACTGGCCCATGTAATACGGTGAAATACGGTCGTATACGGAGCGTATATGGTATGTATACGGTCGTGTACGACGTCGTAAACGGCCGTAAACGATCGTTTACGGAGTTCGTAACGCTCGACCTGGGCTGGCAATTATATTTATTTTTAATTATAGACTTTTTTTTATTATGTCTAGATGTGAAATAAAGTTTTTCCACATATGTGTTTGAAAATAAAAAGGCCAAGATATTGAAATAGGCCTTGTCTACACTAAAAATTTTGACGCTGAATTAAGAAACATGATTGGTTGAACAGTTAATAAATATGTAAAACACTTTTAAAAAGTGCATTAAACTTATTGTACTTTTCAGAACAACATTAAATTCGATGCACCAATCAATGTCTGATTCGATTTTCTAATGAGACTGACACAGTTTTCAATGGACGAGTCCTCTATGATTAAAGTGAACAAAAACCACGATTCATTTCGAAGTCTAGGATTCTGATTGATGCATTAACTGTCAAATGTAGGCACGAATTGATGTAACACGAATTTGATACTACATTATATTCCTAGTGTAGATAAGGCCATAGACTAATATTTTTATGATAATGTAGTATTTTTTAAACTTCAAGCCGCCACCGCTGAGACACTTAAATTGCAGCCGCCGCGCCGCCGATGGTATTCGAAATTTTAAAATTTTCGAGCCGCCGCCGCTGTGTAACCTTAGAATATCATATCTGCGCCGCCGAGCATTTTAAAAAAGTTTAAAAAACTGGCGCCGCCGTCGATCAGCCTATCGGCTTACACCTCTACCTACATGTCGAAAATTTTCAAAAATCCAGTATCTATTTTTTGTTACAGCAACGACTCAAATATCTTGAACAGTTTTCAGTCATCAGCTACTGTCCTGCAAGTAAGTCGGGTACTCGATCTAGTCCAAAGTATGGGTTCGTCTGCAAACTCATCGGATCAATTCAAGTTCGGGTGTGAGATCATACCTGAACTCGACCCGGCAATTAATGAGATCTCGACGTTACAAAATGTTTTAACTTTTTCAAATTGTTAATTTATTTAAAAGCATAGGAATGAAGATCGGAGCAATTTATTGTACTTGAGAACAGATCACAGAAGTGGAAAGCGATATTGTTTTACTAAAAGAATTTTGTTTTTAATGAAAATCCATCTGTATATGACGATGAACCATATGACGAAGTAATTGTTTACATGGAAAGGAAAATGAATTATCCAAAAAGTGCACATGTATTATCATGATTGAAAAAAGCATGAATGTATGTATCCACAATTATGACATTTCGCATCAATACTTCGCTTTATTCGAGCGTCATTAACAACAAGCAAATGTATCCTTATCAAAATTAATCAGATTTTAGAAGCAGAATGACACCAAGTGAATCCTGAATTACTAGCATTTTTGTAGAATATGAGATAATCTCTTTTCTTTTTATTGCTGTCTATGGAGGAAACTAAATAATATAGTTTTTCATACAAAATAGAAGTTTGAAAATCGTACTGTGAGAAAGTATCTGTCGGATGTCGATTAGTTCCGATTTCGAAAACTCGTACCAGTGCAGGACACTATCATCAGAGGCAATGGTACCCCAGTCAGTCGAATTACACCATTACATATGTAGTCTAACAATAATGAACGCTTCTCATGTAATCGAAATCTATGATCAAATTTTCATCTGATTTCAAATCCAATCATATACAAGTTTGAAACAATTAAAAAACCATAAAATATCTTCTTATCAAAAACAAAACTTCTTTGAGTTAATCCATGACTCTTTTTCGCTATTTTTTTTTATAAAGAAAAATTAACTATTTGCACCAAAAATTATATTCAATTTCACACTGTAAAAAAAACGAAGAAATTAATATCAAATGAATAAAGAAAAATTTAATTATTTCTCTTATCTACGGTACAAAAAAAAGAATTAGAGAAAACATTATAACACATACATAAATTGAGACTAAATATCAAAATAACCTTTCATAAGGTAAATTTAAATATTTTCCTGTTTGTGAATGTATAAGTTTTTGAATTCGTTCAAAACATACACTATCACGAAACCATGTATAACGAAATAATTGATTCATATCTGGTCGAGCAAATGTATTCTTTTCTAATGTTTTTATAAGAATTTCTTTAAGATCTCTTTTTGTATGTGATATTGAATTCAATGCACGAATACCTCGTAGACGAAAAATAGTATCTCCAACAAAAGCATTCAATAGAGTCATACCGAACGACCAAACCTAAATAAAACAAAAAAAGAACAATTATTTCTTAAATAAAAACAGCTATTTGATTGATAAAAAAATAACTTCTTATTTGCTCTACACTTATCATATTGTATTGTTTTATTAGTATGATTGTAAGTTATGTAAATAAAAAGAGTAATGCGTAGTTTTATCTTTCGTTCTTCACACTAAGTCAGATTACTCTTTATCAAAATAATCTTCTACTCGTAAACATCAACAATCATCATTAACATGATAGAATGAACTACATTCATTATGTTTAAACAAGTACAGAAAATTTCTTCCTCATAAAGGACATAAATTTTAAATCGAAAAAAAAACGCAATTTCTGCGGGATTAAAATGTGAAACATGATGTATCTGTTGTTGTTAACTACAGAATGATTGTTTTTATTCTATCTATGTTAGAACACATCTATTCATCATAAATCCTCCAGCAATACAATAAAGAAATAGTTCATATATTATAACGAGATTTTATTGATATACGATCTGTGACGCTGGAATAGAATAGTGTTGCTAAGATGTCTCTCACAATCTGTGGATCCAAATTTTTACCTTTCTTACTTCAACATTTATTTTAGAAAATTTAAAATTTCATACATCAGCATTTGTTGAATGTCCTGTTTGAAATTGTACTTCGGGTGCCATAAATTGTTGTGTACCAGCAATAGTTGTATTTAAATATCTTGATGATGCATAAATATATTTCGCTACACCAAAATCACTTAATTTTGCAATTGTTTCTCTTTCATTTGACATAAGAAGAACATTAGCTGGTTTTATATCACGATGAACCTAAAATAATAATAATAATAATAATAAAAGAATATTTGAAATAAATATTTTATATTTATTATAACTATTTTAATTCGATGTAAATATGTAAGTGCACAAGCAATTTGATAAAAAATAAATTTACATTCATCTTCTGTCATAATATATGTTTTATGTATACGATCAAATAATGAACCACCACTAGCATATTCCATTTCAACAAATAGATCTGATTTTTCATGATAAACATTAAAGCGACGAAGTATACATGGATGATCAACACTACCATGAATAGATCTTTTATTTCAAAAACAAAAATTTTCAATTAAAAATTCTTTAAATAATAAAATTTTTTTACACTTCTCGATAAAGATATTTTGAAAAGCCAGGACCAATTTGTTTTTCACATTGATCTTTATTTATAATTTTTATTGCATGATATGTTTGTGTTACATATGATATAGCTTTATAAACATCTGCAAATGAACCTGAACCAAGTAAATTAGCTTTTAAATATCGTTCATCAAGATCAATAACACCAAATAAACCTGATAAATGAATAAATCTATATGCACGATTTTCTTTTAAAGCAAGTGAACTAAAAATTTCTTTTCTTTTTTTTTTTGAAGAAAAAACAAAATATTGTTTAACTTACATAATATGTTCATTATTTTGAAACGAAATTTTTGAATTATGAACAAGTTCACCATCAATATAACAACCATTTCTACTAACATCTCGAAAAACTATTGATCGATTATTATTATTTATATATTCGATTATAAAATGTTTCGAACTTAAATGAATAAAATATTCATGTTGTCGAAGATCATTTGAATCTAATACAATATCACATTCAGTTGGATGACGTCCAATTATATATGATGATTTTGTTAAAATTCCACGAGGATATATATTATTAATTGGTTCTAAATAACCCCATGGAATTGTTGAAGATAAAGCCATTTATTAAAAAAACAAAAATTTACAACTGTTGATTCAAATTGATGAAAGTAAACGAATCGAATGGATAGACGGAGTGAAAAGAGGAAGGGGAAAGAGAGAGCGAGAGAAAAATCAAGTGACCGTCGGGCAATGTTGTCGTTAGAAATTGGCATTACTTTCCTCTTTTTCGTCATTCTCTCCTTTTGCATATATATGTGAAGTGTGTGATAAACGATTATTTATTCAAACAATACACAACAGTTTTAACAAGATTTTTTTCGTATATATTTTGTTCTATTTCCCAATAATCAATCGAACTTTCATCGCTAAAGATATGATAAATAAGAGTATGTCGAATAGATATTTTTCATAATGAATGTCATTCAAAAGTGTGTAAATTGATTATTATCTTAATTGAAAACTATCTTATAACATAACGGTTAATATAAAATGAAATAGATTGTATAGAACTCTATAAGGAATATATGTATAGATGAAGTAACATAAGATGTATTTGTTGTTAATATATCTTCAAATGAATAAATATGTAAATATAACGAATGCAATCTTTTCAAAATGATTGACGAATAAGAGTTTCATTTTATGAAAAATAATCTACTGTTAAATTTACCTTAAAGTTTATTTTCAATATTTTTATTTGATAAGTTAGAAATGTTAAAATATTCTTTATTAGAACTATAGAAAACTTTTTTTTTATTTTTTCACTATTTACCTACATTGATATTTGATTATTGATGACTTCTACTATTCAAAAATTTTCTGATTAGTTATGATATACGGATACAATTTATTCTTACTTTTAAAATTGAGATCGAATTGAATAGATCAGAGCTCTGAATGGAATGTAATGAATCTTCTGTTCCATGAAATTTTCATATTTTTGTTTTGCTTCTCTCGTAAAAAACACAAACTCTTTTTTTACATTCAACAATTTTTTCTCTCGTATGTTAACCTTAGTTTGTCTTGTTTTTAGATTATGATTTATATTTATCAATACCGTTTGTCAGGAAAAAATACGATCATATGTCGTCCGTTATTTGTTTTTTGTATTGGGTCCCATTTTTTCTTATTATACTTTTTTGGAAACAATGTAATTAAGAAGCTTATTCAACTGGAAAGAAGTATACGTACATCACTACATTACGGAGCAAAGAATATGAAAAAAAAAAAAACTTGGAGAACGAACATTTTCTTTTTTATTCGGTGTGTTCGTTCGATATAATTATGACATATGTATCGCGTGATACTCGTTAGAGTCTACAAATAACCCGGTTTTTTGTAGACAATAGTAATGTGTTTATAATGTAGTTGGTGATTAAACAGAGGTAAAGCATAGATATTTAATCAGTATACTACAATACAATATTTATTTCTATTAAAAATGCCATCAATTTTATATTCTACGACATGTTATATAAAAAATGATCTCTATCATTTAAGAATATGTGTTGATAATAATGATCAAAATTCCACTAATACCCAAATAACAACAGATTCATCTACATCGATACCTAATGATATTACAATTGATAGTATTATACCTTCATTAACTCGATTACATTTGATACCAGTAAACGAGCAAAAACTTACACTCGTCCCTAGGGAAATTATTCTTGATCATATACTTAGTGTTAAACAAACAAATACAAGATTAAATGGAAATAGAAAACATTCTAGTGATATTAGTGAAATAAATAATATAAATTTTACTAGAACATCATCTATTGAACAATCACGACGAACAAGTTATTCAACGTTGAGTTCACTTATTTCAACAGTTACAGTACCACGAATATCAACAATACGTCGACCACCTAGTCTCGCAAGATTGTTTTCTATTCAATCACGTAGAGATAGTGAAGCTCATTTAATGCATAAAACATTAGTTAAATTAAGTTATGTTGATGTATCAAATTCAATACGATGGAATATAAAAAGATTAGAAATTGAAGTTGATACAAAAGATATAGCAGATACATTACAGTTAAAAGTAAATTTATGTTTATCAACACTTAAACAACGACCACATCGTTTATTAGCCTTTGTTAATCCATTTGGCGGTAAAGGTAATGAAGACAATGTTTTTTTCTTGTGAATCTGTTAGATCTTTTCACGCTACTTATACAATATATATATATGTTTTATACATCAGACAAACATGTGACTCCTTCAATTAAGAATATTTATCTATGCTTTCAAAATAATATTTAAGAAAAAACCAAAAAGAGCCATACTTGAACATGATTTCGATCATATTATCGAAAAAAATATGTCTAAAGATCGGCTTACAGTAAATCGTCTCTTGTTTACACTAGTCAATTGAGTTTTACGATATGTTTACTTGTTTTTTGTAGATAACACTAGTTTTCAAGGTCTGTTTACTTTCTTCGAGGTTTATCATATATTATAATCAATTTTCGTGTATTTTTGCACCCTGATACCTTGAAAAGTACACTTTTTGTATCTAATCGAAAGTCAACCAATGATAAAATTTGTTGAATTAAATTGATGCTAGTCTTTACTGTATAGAGTGTAACAAAACCATTACACCCCCTTCTGCAACTTAAAATATAAATGATATCATAAAGTATTTTATACCAAATCAATACTCATCAAAAACTAGACATATAAGTGTAATTAGAGCAATTATTACCTATAAAATTATTGAAATGTCTTGAAATTGCATGCTCAAATGTACTTGTACTTTATGATTTTCATTCCTTATTTACATATTTTCATAATAACTAATAGCAAATTCATAATGTCTGTCAAAAACTGAATCTATAGACATGTCATTTATATAATTTTAATGAAAAGAAAAATTTTGTTTTGGACTGTAGTCCAAACGAAAGCATTTGATTAATACGAAAAATGTTCTTTTTGTTTATTATCTAGGTCGAGCACGATTCGTATATGATAAAACAGTATTACCTATATTTGAAGAAGCAAATATTATTGTTAAATCAATATATACACAACGTGCAAATGAAGCAAAAGACTATTTGATTAATGAAGATTTGAATGAATATGATGGTGTTATTTGTGTTGGTGGTGATGGAATGTTTTCAGAATTATGTCAAGGACTTTTATTACGAACATCTCAAGAAGCACAATTAAATATCAATGATCCACAAGTAAATATAACTCAACCTAAGTTAAGAATTGGTATTATACCAGCTGGTTCAACAGATGCTATTGTTTTTGGTACAACAGGTCTTAATGATCCAATAACAAGTACATTACAAATTATTGTTGGTGAAACACTTTCAATTGATATAGCAACAGTAAAACGATTATATCTAATATTTTTATTTGTATTTCTTTTTTATTTTTGTTAAAGATTCATAATGAACAAGGATTTGTACGTTTTATGGCAGCAATGCTTGCATATGGATTTTTTGGTGATATTATTCATCAATCAGATAAATGGCGTTTTCTAGGTCCATTAAGATATGATGTTGCTGGATTTTGTCAATTTATTCTTAATAGATCATATGATACTGAAGTAATAGTTACATTAGCATCTTCAGATTCATCACAATCAACATTACCAATGAGTAATGTTAATCATGAAGTTGAATCATCTGCTATGTCTGATTCACAACACTTAACAAATAATACTAATTCAGAAACAATTGGAAATAATCAAATAGATAATACAATAAAAGTTCTTGGAAAACTTGTTCTATCAACATCAGTATTTTGTAAAAGACATTGTGAAAAATGTGCTGAACGAAAAAATCATAATGCTAATAAAACAAATTCATCATTAGAAATCACACGTCGAGGAAAATATACAACAATAAATTGTCTTAATATGCCATGTCGAACTGCAAAAAGTAAATTTGGAATATCACCATTTGTTCATTTAGGTATGTTTATTTTATTATAATATAATTCTTATAAAAATAATTAATTAGGCGACGGATCATTCGATGTAATTCTTGTTAAACGTTCTTGGCGTACAGGTTTTTTACGTTTTCTTTGGCAAGTTGCTAATGATAGTCGATCTATAGAAAATTTACCTAATGTCGAACGATATCGTGTTAGTGAAGTTGTTATACGCCCAATACATATAAATCAAAAACGATGTGGTAATTGGGCATGTGATGGTGAATTATTATGCGGTAATGAAATAAAAATTCGTATTCATCGTCAAGTACTTAATCTTTTTGCTTCGGGTATACAATTTGACAACATTGAAGAAAATACTTCAAAAAAAGAAAAACAAAAAACTAAATGTGGTTCGCTTTTTCGATGTAAAAAACGTAAACATTGCAAAAAGGATATAAATCCTTAAATATTCTATATATATATATTTTTTTCAAATATGTTTTCGTCAAATTTTTTCGTCTTCAATATACTAGTAGCAAGTAGATATTTTTTCAATTAAAAATAAATAAAATATATACATAAATATGTGTATTTTCTTTAATTATATTTCATTGTTTTCTGGGTTTTTTTCAATGAAACGTTAATCAAATTTTGAAAAAAAATTCAAAAATTCTTTCTCTTGTATCGGATATAGAACATTAAGAAAATAAATTGAATTCAGATTATCAAATTTGCACTGAAATCAAGTATTTTCAAAAAAAAACATGACATTTTTACATAACGATAAATTGATAGAAATCAATTGATTTCTTTTTTTGTTAATTTCTAATTACAATAATTTTTCTCGTAATGAACCATAAAAGAAAAATATTTGATTCATATCTAAGAAAAAAAAATTTTTTTTTTAAATTGATTTATTAAAATATTTTGTAATAATTAATTATTACTTTTAAAACAAATAATATTCAAGAAAATGTAAAGAAAACCTATAAAAAATTCAATATTAATTAGAATATGACAGAGGTGAGTAAGTACGAGAACGGTTTCTTTTCTTCTCCCACACTCTCAGAATATAAATGCCGGCTATCGGCCTAAGAATACTTGTACAAGTACGTTATTCCCACTTGTTCACCTCTCGAATATGAAAACACAAAGATTGAAGCAATTGTTAACTTTATTTTTTACTGACAGAAATTTTGAAAAAGTTCAACACTGATGTTAAATAGTTTATATTATGATGAAATATTTCAAATTCAAAGTCATGTGATAAAATATTAGTTATAATTATGAAAAGACTATTACTCTAATTTGCGAATAGCATGTTTTATGGTTATTAGTCAAAGAAAATCTTGACACTGACTTTGCACAAGGTTAAATTACGTCAATATTGTTTTTCACATTTACCTCGATGAAATATATATATATAAAATACCTAAAATTATAAGAATTATGAATTATATATTCAATCTATTATCTAAATAACAAGATCTTATATCGAGTCATTGTTTAATTATAGATGAATGAAAATAACAAAAATTTATGTTATTTGCTTCTTTATATTTATTGTTATTGCAATTAGACAAAATGTTCAAATGTTATAAACAAATAAATCCTTGAATATTAAGAAAAATAAAAAAAGGAAAAAATAATGTTTTTTTAGTTGATATCAATATCAACACGAATTTGTACACCAGAAGCTAACGTACCAAATGAAAATAAATATGGAAAACTAAAATATAATGATGTTTTTTTTGTTTCGTAATAATTTTTTTTTTACTTACATAATTGCAGCTTTCCAAGCTAAAGAAAATAGAAATCGAAAACAACGTGTCAACATTGATTGCACATAAGTATATGGTTGTAAATAGGAAGATGTCACCGAAAATACTTGTAAAGAAAACATTATTTACATTAAAATCTATAATAGAAAATACACATAATTAACATAAGAATAGAGTAGACTTAAGAAGTCTAACAAAAGAATGACTCGGTCTCTATGATTCATAGATATACGTAGGTTTTAGTAATATGACAAATACGATAGGCAATAACTCATGACACTATCTATGTTTCCATAGGTTTCTCTGACATTAATGATCTTTTTGTTTTTTTTTCTCTTCGTCAGAGAAACGAAGAATACATATAAGAGATGATTCTTATAGAATTCTACTTATTCATAAGTAAGCATTCCGAACATCCACAGAATACAATCATCAACATGGGAAATCTTCATCCGTCTCGTTCTGAACGTCCAGAACTAAACGAACGTGAATTATCTTATATAACTCTTCATACTCATTTTACACGAAAACAGATAAATGATTTTTATATTCGATTTTTAACTTATTATCCACGTGGTTATGTAAATTTTCAACAATTTTGTGATTTATATTGTAATGAATTAAAAAATTTACATAATTCACGGCCATTACTTGAACGTTTATTTCATCATATAGATACAGATAAAAATGGACAATTAAATTTTAAAGAAATTTTATTTTTTAAAGCTATTACTATGCCTGAAACAGATAATGACGAAAAATTTCGATGGATTTTTTTTCTTTATGATACTAATCTTGATCATCATATTGATGAATATGAATTTTTAAATTTATGTCATTTAGCTTATTTTATTCATGGAAAATTATTAACAAAAGATCGTTTAAATGAATTAAAAATTTTATTTGAAAAATTTGATATTAATAATGATAAACAATTAAATTGTGAAGAATTTATACAATTATGTCAACAATGTACAGATTTACTTGAATTAATAGCACCTATGTTTAATAATACAAAATGGAATTCAAAAGTTAGTTGAATTCTTCTTTCGACAATATTTAATATTACTTGGTATTTTTTTTTTTTTTGTCTTTAGAAAAACCCTTGTGGCACATTTACAACAACAACAAATGAACTTACATCGGATCGAATAGATTATTTAACAAATCGAACAAAATTTACTCGTGAAAAAATTTTATATTATTATCAAATATTTCGAAAACATTGTCATTCAGGTCGTTTATCAAAAAGTGAATTTATTAATTTTTATAAAAAATTACTTCAATCAAATTCATCGGAAACTTATTGTGAATTTTTATTTCGTGCTTTTGATAGTTTATCAAATGATGGTTTTATACAATTTGATGAATATCTTATTGCTATTTATATACATAGTAATGCAAGTACACCACGTGAAAAACTTGAATGGCTTTTTAATGCTTATGATCGTGATGGTAATGGATTTATTAGTTATAATGAAATAAATCAAATTGTTCATGCACTTTTTATTTTATACGGTATTGATAGAGAAAAACATAGTGTAGGTTATATATCATATGAAATTATGGCAATATTAGATTTAAATGATGATGATAAAGTATCTAAACAAGAATTTATAAATATGCTTAAAGATAAAGAACTTACTAATTTCTTAGCTCCATCACTTATTAAACAAAATTAAAATAATTTCAAAAAAAAAAAGAAACAAAAAAAAACAATCTTACTAGATGTCTGATTATTTGCTAGATCAAATAACAAATCAGATATTGGTCAATAGACGACGCTACTTATAATTTGTTCTGAATTTTGGTACTTCGATTATATTATGTCAATTTTCCATCTTCGTAATAAATTTTTTTTTCTGTTTTATTTGATTATTTGAATAAACTATCTTACTGAACTACACTTCTATGTTCTTGACAAACATTATACACTCCAACATAAAATGATAAAAAAAGAAGAGCGGAAATGATAAGAAGGAAAAGCTAATAAATAAATATATGAAAATAATAATCTAAAGAAAGAGAAAAAATGAATGCATTACTTAACATGTTGTTCTTGTTTGTTTTCTCATCATTGAATATATACATACTTCAATCGAGGCCAAATCATGAAAAGTATTTGTTATTTGTCGATGAGATTGAAGTTTCTCTTTGCTTCCAGTGTGTTCTATTTAGACAATGAAAGCTACAAGTCTTCTCCACCTTCGAAATCTTCTTCAATTTCGTACACAATGTCGAGGTTTGTTGATTGCTTAAAAAATATAATGACAAAACGTCGAATTAATTTAGGAAACAACATTCTCAGTCAAGAACCATCGGGTCCAAAAATGAAAACAGAAATTCCTGTACGAGGTTTCTTTGTAAAACTTTGCTTTTTTGAGATAAATTCTTTTTTTCATGTATATATAAGGGTCCAAAATCAAAACAATTCATGAAAAAACTCGAAAAAACACAAGTACATAACTATTTTTGAATTTTATAGAAAAATACAAATCAATGATTTTCTAATTTCATAACTTAGAACGCTTTAAGTACAATCTTTGTATTGGATGTTGAAAAATCTATAGGCAATTATGCTGTTGACGTTGATGGAAATATTTTATTGGATGTTTATGAACAAATTGCTTCTCTTCCACTAGGTAATCTATTCAATATATAAGAGAAAGAATCTTATATTTTAAATTACTTTGTTTTTTTTTTGTTTGATCTAGGTTACAATCATCCAGCGATTCAAAAAGTTTTTCAAGATTCAAAAAATTTGGTTCGTTACTATAGATCATCAAATATTATCATTCAAATTTCTTTCATATAGAGTCAACTTGTTAATCGACCAGCACTCGGTGTTCATCCAACACCTCAATTTATTAAACAAATAGATCAAACACTACTTCGAGTTATATATTATTATCTAATTTTTTGATTTACTAATTTGATTTTGTGTCCATCTATCTAGATTGCACCTAAAGGTCTTGACTATATTCAACCAATG